GAGGGGGACTCAGAAGGGGGGACTAGGGGGAGACTGAAAAGAAGGACTGGGGGGAGGTGAGGGGATGGCTGAGGGGGAGACTGAGGGGAGGAAGGAGGGGGAAGAGGAGGAAATGCTCAGGAGGGGGGACCAAAGGAAGAGGGGGAGGACTCGGGGAGGACCAAAGGGGGGAAAATTTAGGAAATAAAGGGGGTTGGAGAGAAATGGGGAGGAAAGGGAGGGACTGAATAGGGAGGAGAAGGGGGGGGACTGGGAGAGGACTGGGGGGGAGGAACTGTGAAAGGATGGGAAGGGGGACCCAGGAGGGGAGGACTAAACCCGAGGAGGAAAGGAGGGGACGATGAAAGGGTGAAGGGGGACCCGGGGAGGGGGAGATGAGGCCCGGGGAAAGGGGGGAGGAAAAAGAGGAGGGGGACCCGGGAGGAGGAGGACCCAGGGGAGGGGGACTGAGAGACTGAGGAGGAGAGGAGGACTGAGGAGGATGGTTGGGGAGGATCGGGAGGGAAGGAGGGGAGGAGGAGGACGAGGGGGGACTGAAAGGAGGGGGAGGGGGAGGAGGACTGATAGGAGGAGGAGGGGGGGAATTTTAGGGGGGCCTGAGGAGGAAAAGAGGGGGGATGGGGAAAGATGAGGAGGAGGATGGGACCTGGGGAGAAAGGGGAGGCCCAAGGGGACCCAGAGGGGGCCTCGGGAGGAGGGGAGGAGGGGGAGGGGGAACTGTTAAACTGTGAGGGGGCTGAGCGGGGGAAGGGGGAAAGAGGGGGGAAAGGAGGAGGGGAGGGGAGACTGAAAGCGGGAAGACAGAAGACCCCGGGGAGGGGGGAGGAAAGTGGGGGGAAAGCATCTAAATGTTATTTTCCATTTTGTCCGTTTTTGTCCATTTTGTCCCGTTTTTGTCCGCTCTATTTTTTGTCCTTTTGAAAATATAGGGTACCGAACGACAAAAAACATGATCCCCCTATAAACAGCATAAATTGAACATTTATTTTAGCAATTTAGGGTGTCCATTAATGTCCGCCTAGTCCGCCTATGTCCGCCTATGTCCGTCTATTTCCGCCTATGTCCGCCTAGTCCGTCTATGTCCGCCTATGTCTGCCTATGTCCTGTCCTTTTGGATTCTATGAGACAAGCGGACATAGACGGACGTGACACCCCCCCCCCCCCCCCCCCCCCCCCCCCCCCCCCCCTTTATTGACCCGGAAAGGCACCAGGGGCAGACATCCCAACACCAGTGCGTTGAGACATAGTGTTGGTCTGCTTCAGGACGTGTTAGATCCTAGAGAAGCCGCCATCCCCTCTACTGCTTTAGCTCAGCGGCAGCATGAGCCCTGGTTTCCTGCCACATTGGCACCTCTGAAAGTACAGAAAAGTGGTGGATTTCGGGGTCCAGGATACTCCCTCTTTGTTCTTTATGGTGGTAATATTTCTCTGAGATGTTTGCAGAGTCTTTATTTCATGATCTTTCTAGTCGGATAAATCCTGGAGAGCATCATTTTGTCCCCAAAGAAATTCGACTCTCCTAATGAATGCTTTTTGTGTGCTGCTTTTTGTTAACACTCCATCTAGATAGGAATGTGAGTCTGCCCCACCCAGCTCTTCTTTCAGTTGCAGGTAACTGGTGTCTTGCACCTCCAGACACAAAAGGAGCTGGTGTACGGGAGAATCAATGGAGCTGTTACAGAAACGACAGGCCTCACCACTGCCTTTAGTAAGGCCTCACCACTGCCTTTAGTAAGTAAGTAAGTAAGTAAGTAAGTAAGTAAGTAAGTAAAGATTATGACATAACATCATCACAAGTGTCTACAAAATATCATTGCACTTCATTCAAATCATTTAAATAAATATATTTTTCCATCAACATTAATGATTTATCAAATTCAATTTTATTAATTAATAAAGTCTAATACATTATTTATAAATAATTCATTAATACTTCCCAGTGGAATAAAGATTTACAAAACGCTTCTTTGCCACAAAACGATAAAACCAAAGATATTCATTATGTCTCTCCTTATTCCTTAAATAACTGGGTCCTTCAATTTTCCCTAAAACTTCATTTCTATTCGAAACATTCCAAAAATAAAAATCATGTACACTGTTTTTTAAAATCATTTCTTTCTTAAATCCTTCCAATCTAACTTTAAAGCTTAAAACTTTGATTCACGATGTCAATCCTTCGCAGCTCGGTGAGGCACAGTGGTGCATCTCGCCGATCTACCGAAGTGGTTGCGAGAAGCATTATTTGATGCGCGCGCGACCCAGTAGTGCATCGCGCTACAACTTAAAACTTTGCTTCAAAAGCTTAAAGCTTTGCTTTCGTGTATATCACATAAGTGGATAGAAACGAGCAAATTAGGACTAGCTAGGTAAATAAGTTCCATATTGATAAATTTTTTAAAAAATAACAAATAATCAATAATTCAAAAAACAATTGAAATTTAATTTCTAATTATTGAGCTGCACTGGCATAGTCAATTCGTTACCTGGCACGTCACTCCCTGTACTAAGTGCTTTTTAGCTGTCCAAGCTTCCTAAACAGTGAAAGAAGTGAAAAATAAACTTGTCCATTGTTAATGGACTAGCCCAGCACTTGACCATTGTTAATGGTTTGGCCCGGCGCGCGCTACTTTGTACCTCGTAGCACTTGCCGTCGGGCCACATTTCGAGAAGAAATCAGCGCGCTACCTCGAAGAAATTTAGACGAGTAATATCCATCAAGCCCAGCACGTTGCTCTAACCAGAGTTGTATCACAATGCGACCCGCAAGGTCGTTTCACTATGGGGAGCCGCGCACTTCGTGCGCGGCGGGTCATACAACGTATGACAAAACCAGAGCACTCTCGCTTGTAGTAGCGCGTGACTTGTGAAACAAACGCGCCACGCAGTACGCGTATACACATGGCTATGTGAACCCAGCACGCGCAATTTCGTAGTACTTGCATTTGTATCACGTTGCGACCCTTACGGTCGTTTCACTTTATTGTCCTGACGATACAGGGGGAGCCGCGCACTCCGTGCGCGGCGGGTCATACAACGTATGACAAACTTGCATCGGGCCACATTTCAAGAAGAAAGCGGCGCGCGCTATTTCGCAGAAATGGTTTTACGTGAGGATAAGTTTGAGCTCCTAGTTCACCGGGGGAATTTTAATGAAAGTCTGTATGAGCTGCCTTTTGTACGTCAAACACAATAATACAAGGTGTCAGGCGGTAATATGCTCTATCCTACAGACCAAGTTAAGAATCTTGGATTTATAGTGTGTTTTGATATGTTGTGGTCACATCATGTCAGTTCTATTGGCATCTCGAGCTGGAAAAGTTGCAGCCAGGGTGATCAGTGCGTTCAAGTGCATAAATAGAATTGTAGGTTTACAACCTACCAGGATGCGCGCCGAGTTGGACTCGTCGACGGTCCAATATATGGAACAGATATTTTACGAGTATCACCCGTTAAAGAATTTATTGTATAACTTTAGTACCTATTAATTTAGAGTTGTTTTTAAGTGAGCATAATGGGTATATTCTTGGACCTAAAGGTTTTAGTATGGCAACTTTAAAATTGGTTCTTTTAATCATTTATTAAATATCAGTTTAAAAATACATAAATCTGGAATCTGTTCACACTGTGAACCAGTCCTATAAAAATTTTAAAAATCCTCTTAAATTAAATATTAAAAACGTCTCAATAATGGAAATAGTCATACAATTAATAAATCTACCAAATTCTTAATATCTACCTAAGAGGAAAATACCTACCTAAGTCAATGTCTACCTGTAATGCACTAAATATTAGGTTAAATACATAGGTGGTGGAGTCAGCACACATTTACCAAAATCAAAATTTTTTTTAATAGGAGGAACCTGTGGGCCGAGAACACTGGATTAAATTAGATGAAGGGGATTGTTTTCAAATGATAACTGCATTATGTCATAATCGCTTGAGGTCCATGCTGTATCATTATAAGCATGTTGCAGCTTTAAAAGTGCCTTTTTCAGGCGACTTTTAGCAAGGCTAATCTTGTAGGAGTAGTCAAAAAGCTTAAGTTTAGGTGCAATTGTGCTCCAAATTTTTGTGGATCTTGATATAAAGTCATTAGATGGAAGTTGTGAAATGAGAGTGGTTTCCTTTCTAGAAGATGGCTGATAATGCTGTTGCAGTGATACTGGGCACCTTAATTTTAGTATTTTAAAATCTTCCATAAATGTGTGATATGTATATAAATTTTTGAAAGCCAGGATGTTTTGTTGCTTGAAAAGTGGTTTACAGTGCTCTAGTTGGAAGAATGTATGGTCAAGTGCCTAGTATATCAATAATTATACAACAATTAGTTGTCTCTATAAACCTAGTCGTTTTGATTTTTAAATAAAATGTCCTTTTCTTGTGAAGTATTTATTAACTAATAACTGAAAAATGTCAAACAGTATATATACAATAAATTAAATCAAGTGTATCATGGATATCAGGCAAATAAGCTTGGCCACTACTGGGAACTGTCGTATGACATCTTTGATAGGATAGATGTGTCTGTGTCTAATAGGAATAGTTATGTAAGTTATATTAAAGAGAATCCATTGGTAGCTAAGAGGAAGAAGGTTAATATCAAAGGTATTTAGTTGAATTTTTTAAAAGTTTGTAATTATATGGTTCCAAACGTAAAGTGTTCATTTTCTATGAATTTATTTTTAAGATGCCCAGAGAGGCATTATTTATAATGTTATGTTAACGTTATGTTAAGTGATGCAATTGGCAGAGCACAATCGTAAATCCTGAGCAATACGCCAATAGATTAACTGACAGGGGATAGTTTGAATTCCTTTGATATTGTTTATAACAAAGGAATTCATTCCATTAATTTACTAATTGTTGTTTACAGATTTTTACTTCAACCAAGTCCATTTGTGAAGCACTACTTCCCATTTCCAATCATTGGAGTGCTGGAAAAGCAATATAATTATATATCTATATTGATGCAATATTACAAACTAACCGATTTTTATTCTAGCAGATGAAATGCATCACTCCCATGGTGGGTTGTCAGGGATTTATGCAGTCACACTTCCACCATTGAGTACATTACCATCTTGGAGCAGAACCTCCTTTCAGCATAAACAAAAATTGTCCCTTCAACCAGATAAACTACGCCCTCTAGCTAGCTGTGTTGCCAAAAGTTCTCGTAGCAGTGACATTGCATCAAGTAAAAGTAATAGCCCATTAACTTCAGATAAAGAAGAGAATGTGCTTCATGTGCTAGAGCTATACAAACAGAAAGTTAAGTATCTTACTGGCAACATAGACTTTCTGAAAGATGAGCATCACAAGATTTTAAAGAGCTTACATGAAGAAATTGAACGTATGAAATATGAGAACAAGGAGCTCAAGTTTAAATTGATTATTTCGGATGGTAATCCACCTGCTTGGATGCAGGAAAAAGGATGGCATGATAAAAAGGAAAGTAAAAGTGCAGTTTCAAGTTCACCTTCCAGGAGAAACCATAAGGTTTATGATGAAGAGATCAGTTTGTTGCGGGATAATCTGAGCCATGAAAAGAACAAGAACAAAGTGCTGCAAGAAGAACTAAACGCCATGAACTCACTTGATCTCGATTGCAATCTAAACGAATCACCTGATGAATTTGATCTTGATGTTCCTAACACAATTGAAGAATGCTACACTTTGATCAGCTCTCTGAGGTCTGAGAATGATGCCCAGCAGAAGGAGATAGCATACCTTCAAGGAAAATTAAATGAACAAGACAATTCTGCCCATTCTCAAGCCAGTGATCATCGGGTTATGTCATCGCTGCCTGCTTTGAGACCAGCCTTGCAAAGTAAGGTTGTTCATCGGATGAAGAGACAACAAATAATGACCAAAGAGAAGAACAGGCATGACATCTTAAAGGAGTTATAATAGAATGCTGATTTCAAATAATCATAAATTTCCTTGGCCAATGCAAAACCTTCTATTGCATTGACCTCTCCTGCACATATATTTCATGATGATGGAGATGAATGATGTTTATATTTATGTAAATAGATCTGTAGTTATGCATTCATAATGACTTTGATTGGTAAGATTGGTAATTTATTAGTATCACATAATAATGTTTGTTAAAATTTGTGAATACAGTATAGCATTTATTAAAATTTTTCATGATTTGGTTTGCATCTTTATCCAGATTCTTTTCTTCTGAAAAGTGATTTTAATCACTGTAATAGATTTTAAAATAATTGTTCTTGAATCTCAATGCGCGTATCATTATGGAAATAATAAATCATTGTTCTTTTAAACCAGGAACATCTAGATTCTAGATGGAGTAATCAAAATATTATAATCATCTGTTATTATGAAATTCCTTAAATAATTTTCAGTGGACTGGTTTCCGAAAATAAGGGTCAATATATAAATGCAATGTCGTATGTAGGTTCTGTAGCCATGAATTCCAGGGATAAAAATTGTAAATTTCAAATGTATGCCATCTGGCTTGATTTCGAAATTATTTATATACGTGTTTATGTGTTATTTTATCGTCTCAATTGTATCTCTTCACCTCGCATGAAAAAACTCTCGGTAAATAACTGATAAATTATTCAAAATTAATCGTATCAAAAAGCAGATCAAACCGTATTAAACCAGTAGGTTAAACTTGAAATTGATTAAATTATTTTATACGATTTACTTTATTCGTGATTTACTTCACAACACGAAACATACATGAACTATAACCAGAACTCTAATTGACAGGCATGAATAGTTCAGAGATAGGGGACTTTAAGAGCCTTGAGGGTGCACGTGATACATGTTCAAACCTGCTCACTCAATGGTTAGACGATTTGCAGTTGCTGTGGGGCGAAGTTGGCATCCCGCCCGAACAGCAGATCACTAGAATAAAAGTGGTAAGTTGGACGTCATGAAAACTTTCTTCATATTGGACTAACCTGATTTTGTAGATAAAAATATGTATTATAATATATATATAATACGTTGAAAAACCTGTAGAACATTAATTAACGTTAATTCCTTGAATGATAATATTAATAACGACAATAATATTGATATTCATCAGGTATATGAGAATTTGTCTGAACTTTGTAGAGCAATGGTAGATGAGGAAAAGTCCCGTAGAGATGGCTACATAGAGAACATCGCAAAGTGTAGAGCTGAATGTCAGAGACTAGCGGAGGAGCTGGAGACCTCCTTTGAGGAGCCACCAGAAGATTATACAGTCCTTAGAAAGGAGAAAGTTCTTAGAAATCAGGTAGATTTGAAAAGTGTTATGTTTGTACAATTTATAGACGACAGTTGGATATTTCTATATTGCCTCTTGATTGCATGTCCTTTCATCAGAAAGTTTCGTGTGTGCTTTTGATTAAAAATTGATTTTAAGATTATTGTCTAGACCTGCTTTCATCGGAAAAATGTGTTTTCATTGAAAGTGATTATCGTATGCAGAATCCATAAGAAATGGGACAAGTTGTGGTCGCGTCTAAATAGACAATAGACATTCAAGTTTAACGAATATTACCATTAGTAATATTTAATATTACCGTAAGTAATATTTATAGACATGCATAAGTTATACATTTCTTGTTGATGTGCGATATACGAACAGCGATGTCCCAACTAACCACAGATCCTTGCTCAAGTTCCATTATGATGAGGGTCCGTTTACATATTACGTATCGTACGTAATCACTAGCGGTTTCGAAAAGATGAATCATGACGCTAACGTATTTTCTACACAATAGCTGTTTAAAAATAATTACGGAAGGAGAGGGCCGTTGTGTAAGGGAGGGGGTGTCACGTCCGTCAATGTCCGCTTGTCTCATAGAATCCAAAAAGGACAGGACATAGGCGGACATAGACGGACATAGGCGGACATAGGCGGACATAGACGGACATAGACGGACATAGGCGGACATAGGCGGACATTAATGGACACCTAAATTGCTAAATAAAATGTTCAATTTTTGCTGTTATAGGGGGATCATGTTTTTTGTCCGTTCGGTACCCTATATTTTCAAAACGGACAAAAAATAGAGCGGACAAAAACGGACAAAAATGGACAAAAATGGACAAAAATGGAAATAACATTTAGATGCTTCCTCCTCCTACTCTTCCTCCTCCTCCCCCTGGGTCTTCCTGATCTTCCTCAGTCCTCTTCCTCCTCCCCTCCTCAGTCCTCCTCCTACTCCTCCTCTTCGTCCTCAGTCCTCCTCATCAGTCCGCAACAGTCCTCCTCCTCAACAGTCCTCCTCCTCCTTCTGAGTCCTCCTCCTGGGTCCTCCTCCTGGGTCCTCCTCCTGGGTCCTCCTCCTCCTCTTCATCCTCCTCCTCTTCCTCCTCAGTCCTCAGTCCTCCTCCTCATCCTTCTCCTCATCCTTCTCCTCAGTCCTCCTCCTCAGTCCTCCTCCTCCTCCTCTTTCCTCTCAGTCATCCTCCTCAGCCATCCTCCTCAGTCCTCCTCAGTCCTCCTCAGTCCTCCTCCTCAGTCCTCCTCCTCCTGGGTCCTCCTCCTCTTCATCCTCCTCCTCTTCCTCCTCGGTCCTCAGTCCTCCTCCTCCTGGGTCCTTCTCCTCATCCTTCTCATCAGTCCTCCTCCTCCCCAGTCCTCTCCCAGTCCCCCTCCTTCTCCTCCTCCTATTCAGATTTCAGTCCTCCTCCTCCTCCTCCTCCTCAGTCCTCCTCAGTCCTCCTTCTCATTTCTCCTAAGTCCTCCTCCTGAGTCCTCCTCCTGAGTCTTCCTCCTCTTCCTTCTGAGTCCTCCTCCTGAGTCCTCCTCCTCCTCCCTCTCAGTCATCCTCCTCAGTCATCCTCCTCAGCCATCCTCCCCAGCCATTCTCCTCAGCCATCCTCCTCAGTACTCCTCAGTCCTCCTCCTTCTCAGTCATCGTCAGTCCTCCTCCTCAGTCCTCCTCAGTCATCCTCCTCCTCCTGGGTCCTCCTCCTCCTCCTGGGTCCTCCTGGGTCTTCCTGATCCTCCCCAGTCCTCTTCCTCCTCCCCTCCTCAGTCCTCCTCCTACTCTTCCTCCTCGTCCTCAGTCCTCCTCCTGAGTCCTCCTCCTGGGTCCTCCTCCTGGGTCCTCCTCCTGGGTCCTCCTCCTCCTCTTCATCCTCCTCCTCTTCCTCCTCAGTCCTCAGTCCTCCTCCTCATCCTTCTCCTCATCCTTCTCCTCAGTCCTCCATCCTCCTCCTCAGTCCTCCCCCAGTCCCCCTCCTCCTCCTCCTATTCAGTCCTCCTCCTCCTCAGTCCTCCTCCTCTTCCCTCTCAGTCATCCTCCTCAGCCATCCTCCTCAGTCCTCCTCAGTCCTCCTCCTCAGTCCTCCTCCTCCTGGGTCCTCCTCCTCCTCTTCATCCTCCTCCTCTTCCTCCTCGGTCCTCAGTCCTCCTCCTCCTGGGTCCTCCTCCTCATCCTTCTCATCAGTCCTCCTCCTCCCCAGTCCTCTCCCAGTCCCCCTCCTTCTCCTCCTCCTATTCAGATTTCAGTCCTCCTCCTCCTCCTCCTCCTCAGTTCTCCTCAGTCCTCCTTCTCATTTCTCCTAAGTCCTCCTCCTGAGTCTTCCTCCTCTTCCTTCTGAGTCCTCCTCCTGAGTCCTCCTCCTCCTCCCTCTCAGTCATCCTCCTCAGTCATCCTCCTCAGCCATCCTCCCCAGCCATTCTCCTCAGCCATCCTCCTCAGTACTCCTCAGTCCTCCTCCTTCTCAGTCATCGTCAGTCCTCCTCCTCAGTCCTCCTCAGTCCTCCTCAGTCCTCCTCCTCCTGGGTCCTCCTCCTCCTCCTCCTCCTGGGTCCTCCTGGGTCTTCCTGATCCTCCCCAGTCCTCTTCCTCCTCCCCTCCTCAGTCCTCCTCCTACTCTTCCTCCTCGTCCTCAGTCCTCCTCATCAGTCCTCAACAGTTCTCCTCCTCCCCAGTCCTCCTCCTCCTCCTGGGGCCTTTTCCTGGGTCCTCCTCCTGGGTCCTCCTCCTCCTGGGTCCTCCTTCTCCTCCTCAGTCCTTCTCCTCCTCCTCCTCAGTCCTCTTCCTCCTCTTCCTCCTCCTCCTCCCTCTCAGTCATCCTCCTCAGCCATCCTCCTCAGCCATCCTCCTGAGTCCTCCTCCTTCTCAGTCCTCCTCCTGAGTCCTCCTCCTGAGTCATCCTCCTCAGTTCTCCTCCTCCTCCTCCTAGGTCCTCCTTCTGGGTCCTCCTCCTCCTAGGTCCTCCTTCTGGGTCCTCCTCCTCCTCCTCCTCCTGGGTCTTCCTGATCCTTCTCCTCCCTCTCAGTCATCCTCCTCAGTCATCCTCCTCAGTCATCCTCCTCAGCCATCCTCCTCAGCCATCCTTCTCAGCCATCCTCCTCAGTACTCTTCAGTACTCTTCAGTCCTCAAAATGTTTGTCCGCTAATGTCCACTAATGTCCGCTAATGTCCACCAATGTCCATCCAAGTCCGCCAATGTCCGTCCGGGTCCGCCAATGTCCGTCCGAGTCCGCCAATGTCCGTCTGAGTCCGCCAATGTCCGTCCGAGTCCGCCAATGTCCGTCCGTGTCCGCCAATGTCCCAAAAAACACGTCCGTTGTCTCATAGAATCCAAAAAGGACAGGACATAGGCGGACATAGACGGACATGACACCCCCCCCCCTGTAAGATGGCCAAATAGTGATTATATAACATAATATTTTAATATGTACGATTTCAGGTGAAACAGTTGATAAAAGAGCGTCAATTGAGGCTGCGTGAAGCAATATCTCTGCGAACACAAGAGGGGGAGTTATGTGCACGATTGGGGAGGATTCCTGAGTACATTCAATCAGACACAGTACTGACCAAGGAGCAAGTCAAGGAGGCTAACACTCGCATCGGGTAAATAAACGGGTTCTTTCTTTTTTATTTCATCTCTATGGGAAGTGGATATTTTTAAGGGATTTTGTACCATGTTGTCGTTGCTTTGTGATAACATTGTATAGTATTCAGGACCGTAGCACAGTTACACACAATTAGGGAATTTGGTGAGTTTATTTGTCGTAAACTTACTAATAATGGTAATTGGAATGTAGTAATTTGAGATATAAAACAATTCTCTACAATCAATGTACCCACTAAATACACAGTCTTGCAATTGTAAATATTTACTGATTTACAGGTTGGTAACTTTATGTTACCAACCTGGGAAATAGTCCGATTTGTGACTGATAAATTCTAATTAACTTCCGTGTATCAGTTCTTTCTAGAGGAATCTCTTGAAAAATACATGAATTCCCTAGAGAGTATACTTCAACACACGACACATAGGTTTACAATGTTCTATTGCCAACTCAACGTGTTATAAATCGCAATGAGAAATAAAAATATTCGTATATAAGTATAACTATCTCATATGGCCATACATTAAGGTGGCATGGCAACAGATTGGGTTAAATTTCTTAACGACAGGTTGTGAAATATGAGTGGCTTGAGTGCGTGTGATCTAGTTGATGTGTAAATTAATGTAATCCTTTGATCCAGTGTTCACAATTAACTCTGAGTGTGACTAAACATGGCCATAGACGTTTATTTGGTAATTCTTATTGTGATGGATTAAAAATAAAAAGACATCTTTGCTAGCATTTTATGTCCATTCTAAAATCTAACTGTACGTCGTACGCGTAGGTCTGTTAAATGATAATGTCTGCAGGTTTCTGACAGCAGAGAAGAACAAGAGAGATATCAAACTAGCGATAGCAGCTAAGGATATCCTAGAGTTGTGGACTGAGCTGAATATCAGAGCACGTAACGACAGGGAGGAACACATTGAGTCTGGTAACTTGGACTCATTCCAGCTTTCTAACGAGAACATGCAGTGGTTAGAACAGATGAAACAGAGCTTATCGGTTAGTTTTATCTTACTTTATATTTCCTGTTCTTTTCCGGTTTTTCACATATTCCCCGCCATCACTTATAATATTAGTATAGTATAGCAAATTTTATATATTTCTCAAATCACAAGCTAAACCGTCTTTGATCTGTTGAGTGTTTGAGGTTTGTTCGTGGTTACTTTGACTGGTTACCAGATGACTACAGTTAAAATAATTCAGCTTATTAAACCTGATGATATCATCTGTTATCAATAAGCAATGCTTATAGTCTATCGACCTTGTGATTATTTTAACATCATTTCTTACGCACAACGTCAACCATCACATGATGATAATAGCTATTAACTGACGTTAGTCCATGTTATCAGATGACCCTGGATGATAACAAGAGATTACAGAAGAGTCTCATGACCAAGGTGCAGAGTTTGTGGACCAGGATGGAACTACCAGAGGAGGATCAGAAAAAGTTTTTAGAGCAACACACTGGATATTCTGATGCACTTATTGTCAAGCTTAAAGAGGAGGTCAATAAATTTACTGATTCTGATCACATTTCTTTGAAGTGGTCAATTTTCGTAATTCTTGAACAATAAAAGCTTTATTTGATTACATTTACCATTTACGATCGAATCGAATAAAGAAAATTCAAAATTACCTGTTCCTAATTGCAGGTCCGACGGCTAGAAGAGCTGAAATTACAAAACTTGGAAAGATTCATCAAGCTGACACGAGACGAAATAGAGAAGTACTGGGAGCTTATGTTTTACAGTGAAGAAGACAAGCGACTATTTACACCTTACTTCAGTGAGACTGTCGGGGAGAACTTACTGCAAGAACATGAGAAGAAGTTGGAGTGTTTGGTTCAAGAGTACAACAGCTACGAGAACCTTTACATGTTAGTTAATAGAATCACCTACCCTCCAGTCATCATGTTTTGAATTGCAGTGTTTTGTATATTATGTGGAGAATTTGAAAAATTGATTTTTGTCTCTTAGCCCGCACTTTTTCAATAATATTGTCATCACTTATGTATTTAGATTTTAGTGCCTTAATCGTCCTTCATCATGCAGGACAATCAAATCGAGGAATAAAATGTGGGAGAGATACGAACAAATGGAGTGCAAGGAAAGTGACCCGAATAGGTTTGATAACAGAGGAGGAAAACTACTGAAAGAAGAGAAAGAAAGGAAGAAGATTCTCAGGGATCTTCCCAAGTGCGAAGACTCGATAATTCGTGAGATTTCAACGTGGGAAAGCGAATCTGGCAGGATATTTACTGTTTTCGGTCACAAATTCTCTGATTATCTCAACAACCAAAAAGAAGAGGTTTGTAATACAAGTACTAACTACTATCAAATTTGTATAATTCCGAAATTTTGGTACCTAACCTGAATTTAGATAATAATTCAGCGTCTGCTCAATAACTTGTTTTGTTGTTTGGCAAATAACTAACGCCAGCATCAACAGCTTCAGAATCGAAAAGATCAGATGAAAGAAAACAAGCTGAAAGCCAAGGAGGAGGCAATGCAGAATGAACTAACGTATGGAAGTACTCCCGCTAAAACGCCTAAACGTAGGATTGCCGGTACCACCATCCTTACCCCTGCTAACAAACGAACCAAGGTATAGTTTATATCATACTATGTATAAGTAATAAGTATTTACTTTTCAAAATTATATCATTTCTAGATGACTTCCCAAATGATTACGGATCTGGTGCAAGTTTTGAGTAGAATTTAAAGAATCTGTACCGCGCGGGTCCCGCCTAAAACAGGATGGCATGTTTGAGAAAAAGAATGTGTTTTGTTATGAGTTCAATTGTGTGGTTCTTAGCGATCTGTATAAGATCGAGTTACAGCACACTCAAACCAATTATCCAGGACTATATTAAGGTTATCAAAGCACTGTAATCTAATTACCGGACCCTGTCCTACTTAATGTAATGTACACTCTATACATTGTCATGTACGGGACAACTACAGGATGTGAGATCTGTGATGGAACCTCCCGGGTGTTATTTTCTACACGCTGTACATTCCATACATTGCATATTGCATGTTGAAATAATTTTGACAAGTTCACCCCTTCCGGCACCTGCCCTTTGTGACCTTGTGTCGACCCTGGCGGCTGGTTCTTGTGCCAAACATTACAATTCAATGTGCACAAACTTAGTCACCACTCACCTCCTTGCGATTCAAATTATAGCGCGGGAACAAATTCCAGTCTTTGAAATTGAAATCTCAGTTAATTTTTTGAAACGAAAAACGAGATAAAAACTGATGAGATTTTACTTGATATTCTATTATGTTAACGATTATATTAACTTCAGACGGGTCACACGCCCAACACAACGCCCACAAGAGCAGCCAGGACACCCAGAACCAGATTTGTACACAGCAGTCTGGTAGCCAAGTCTCCAATAAGAACACCCGTCCGTGAGAAGAACTTTCCCAGGTCAGTGTCACATCATAGTCGAATGTTACGTACTATCAATAGTCACGTGATAATAAATAGTCACGTGATAATGAATAGTCACTTGATAATAAATAGTCACGTGATAATAAATAGTCACGTGATGTTTATTTTTATTTTTTACTCGTTCACCTCACGCCCTCACGGCTTACCACTTCTGGAGCAATTTCGAGCTATTAGGACTGTAGATCGAATTCTGAAATGAAACTGAACTCAAACATTTGATAGGGTGGTAGTAAAAGTACCTGGTCAGAAGCGACCGGACACGCCCACCAAAAAAGCGGCACCCATAGTCGAGGAATTTGTCCCAGAAGTGCGAGCACCCGCCATACAGGCCCCTAGTACCAGTAAAGAGTCCAGTATGGACAGTGGCTGTGTCAGTGTCAGCAATTTAGATTTAGATAACCAAGTCGCTGATTACGCAGATTTCGAAAACGAGGTAACTTTGTGTATGTGTTATGTGTGTTGAATCTTCCCAAATCTTGATTCTTATCTTGCATGTCCGCATCTTCTTACTCTTGTTCAACTGTGATTTATGACCTTTTGATTATTTTCTTTTCTGTAAGATAATTGATTGGTTTACCATTGTAAGTTACAATACAAATACAATGTTAAACGATCTGTTGAGAAAAATCATGAGAAAGGTTGCAAAAGTTACTGTTGGACAAGGAATGGATTATATTCTTCCTATCTAGTCTGGATCTTTTTTGTACTCAAGAAAAAAAATCACTATTCCCGCCATGTCACTTTTACCTACTGAAGATATTGTCATCTCTTTGACGTATCTATTAAATTGTAGCGACTTCTCGCATATCAGTTAGCACGCAACTTACACTGACTCCACAGATTGTATTAGAACTCCCAGCTTCTAAATATCATGTGCTACGAGCATGCATGTTATGTGTTGTGTATATCGTTAGCTACAGTGGCCCTCGCAGATTAATATATCCTCCCAACATCATGCATGATCTTAATCTTATTGATTCTCGTAAACACTGCATGTTTCTCTATTTTCAGAAACTACACCAAGTTCTACAGAAATTTTGTTATAAATGTGCCTTTTTAAAGATCTCGTGATTTCTCATGTGATAGTTAGATCGTTGATAGTAAGATCACTGTAACAACATGTATGTGATTGAAAACAATCTTGCTCTTTAAGAAACATGTGCTTATGGTTCGGTTTTATTCCTAGGCGTCGATTTGGGCTTCAAAGCAAGCATTAATGGGCCCTCAACCGAGCTTAAATCCATCTTTGTGGTCAATTAAAGAATAAAGCAATCAGTTTTGAACAAGTGAGTTGGCATAAATCCACCATGCACGCATGTATAATGCAAATGTATTATATCAATCGGGACTGGGAGATTGAATAGATTAGACCAAACCTTTAGAATTCTTTCGTATCTTCAAATACTGATTGGATGTGTAACCGCAAAATGGATTTAATCTCATGAAAACAAGGACAAATTTAAGAGAGATAAGCCTACGAATATAACTCTAATCTCTATGTTAGAAAACTAATACTTAAATTAAACTTAAAACTATTAAATAACTTAACTTCTATTCCAGGTCAACCACCCCACCAGAGAACTGATGAGAAGTAGTTCAGTACACATGACAGCAAGCCCAGAAAACAATCCCAGAAAATCGCTTCTATTTACCATCCAAGAGTCAGATTGAACAACAATCACGTGATATTACAGAACACAGACTGTTGCTTTGTTGGGTTACAGTTGAAGATGACAGAATGCTACAACCCGTGTGCATGCGTTATAAATCAGAATTTTACCAGCGAAGTGACTTGAAAAAAAAACGCAGATGTGCATTGGCTTATACATGTTCTATTCAATGCGATATAATATTATATTCTATATTATACGTTTAGTTATTTTATTTGTTACGTTTCAAACTGTATCTAGTGGGCGTGTTAGTTGATTAACCTATCATTTTTCCCATTCTGTGCTTTAATTTCAATCCTGCTTTTTTCTTCCAGACCAATACGTTTTTGTCAGAATTTAATATCACACCAGGTTTTTGGGTTTTTAACTTTCAATCAAAGTTTGACGAAAATGTTCTATTTGATAGGCAAAGTTTTGATACCACATTTTTTGCGAGAACGTTGGAATATTGATTTTGACAACAAAAGTTACAAGATATATTTCTTGTTGCATGCTGGGAGAATCTTAAACTATTATTGATGTTTATTCAGCAATCCATCTTATTATGTAGGTTTGACTGACTGAATTGAATTGCGATTCATTTCGTTACATTTATTGAATTTTTGTTTATCTTCACTGCTGATTAAAAGCATGTTTATTTGACGACGAAAGAGTTCATAATTTACAATAAGGAATGTTCACGAACTTAAAGATATCTAAGACTTAATCTGACTTATCTAGTTATCTATCGGTCTATTTCAAAATCAGAATTGTTCAGTTGAAAATATTAGCAAATTGTTGTTTTGTAGAATTAACAAATTTTTATCCACTGCGTCTCATTATTTCAAAAGGCTTTGCAATACACCTGAAATGAAAAGGTCATCACTATTCTGCGATTGTATGAATAAAATTGGTATAATATATTCGGGCTTTAAAGCACCTGCTGGCATAGCTGCATAGTACACATTCGTGCCTTTTATTATAATGTAACTAATGACGCCCAATTTTTAGGTAAAATGGCGGCTCCACAAGTCGAGCTTGAAAAGTTCGAACGCTACAACCCAGTCAATCCTCTGCCAGAAGAAATCAGATCCCTTTCCAACGACGAAACTGTTTGCAAGTTCTGCGGAGTGTCCTACCTCATCCACAACGAGATAAAAAAGTTAGAATTAGAACTCGAAAATGTTAAGTCACAACTCGTAGGGTATGAAGACATGAAAGCGAACTTTACTAGCCTGGAGAAAGATAACAAAGATATGAAGGATAAAATTGGGTGGTTTGAGCTGCGATGTTCAGAACAAGAGCGGATGATCAAAGATTTGAGTGACAGTTTGAGTGCAAAGTCTGGGCAGTGTAGCGCTCTAAAGGAGGAATATTCGAGTTTGAGTGAACGTTTGGAGGAACAAGCTGTTTTGTACAAGGAGCAGACTGCCAAGTTATCTAAATTCCAGAAATATGCTAAATTCTACCCTCCTTTATTGAAACAACTTAGTCTTGTGAAGGAACAGGAATCTAAACTAAAGCAGGAGATAGTGGAGTATAAACATACGTTCGATGCTGATATAAAAATCGTCACTTCTTATCTCAGTGTCATGTCAAATAAATGCCAAGAAACTGAATCTAAATTACAAGATAGTCTTAACGAAACTGCTTCACTTAAAGATAAAGTTGTTACGATTACCAAAACAAACTCTGGTTTGTGTGAACAGCTTGCCAAAGCACGAGATAAAGTGGCTATGCTGGAACGATCTTCAGCTTCTCTCAACCACGCGCAACAGCAAAACGTGCAACTCTCCCAGATGGCTTCAGAAACACAGCGTGAAGTCGAAGAGTGTAAACGAGATCTTGCGGAGTCAACAGAGGAGAAAGAAAACCTGCAACGTACTCTGTCTGGAAAGAACCAAGAGAACACAGAGCTAAAACAGAGAATTAATGAATTAACGAAGAGACACACTGCTCAGATCGAGGATTTAAACAAGAAGTATCAGTCTTCTTTAGAAATGCAATCCTCTCTTAAGACCAAGATTAACTCTCATGTTGAGAATATGACTAAGGATAAGGAGCACATTTCGTCTCAGACTACTCGATTGCAGGTAGAAAATGGTGAGCTGAAAAATGAATTGGGTCGGCTGACTAAAGGTCTCCAAACTATCGAAGAAAGAACTCGGCATATTTCAGAATCTCACAGAATCCAGCTTTCAGAGCTCCACGCAAGTTACCAGGATCAACTTGAATCAGCTCTGGCTAATTCAAATATGTACAAAAGTGAGGTTGAAAAATTGGTAGCCATGCAGAGCAAACGTGATTCTGAACTGAAAAGTGCTCTGAAGCAGCTTCATGACAAGCATGAAGGTCAGATAAAAGTTATAGAGAACACTTACAAGCAGTCACAGATCGATCTTGAAAAACAAATCGATAATCTCTCGACGCAGTATAGCAAAGATCTACGCACGAAAGAGCAAGCTATTAAAGATATTGAGAAGTCGTTTTCTCTCCAGTTTGATACACTGAGGGGCGATAAAACATCCCTCCAAAACAGCGTCAATCAGTTGAACAAGCAAATAGCAGAGTATGAGACAACTATAAAGCAGTTGGAATGTAAACCTGCATCTCCCGCCGACGAATCAGATAAACTCAAATCACTTAAACTCCGGAATAGTCAGCTGGAAAAAGAGGTTTTAACGTTGCAAAGGATAGTGCAAAAGGAATGCGAAGAAAGATTAGAACTCACCGAAAGGTTGGATCAGTTTAAAGCTGAAGTCTGCGATAGAAAAGTTCGAGAAAATTCTGACGTGACCTCTCGGAATTCTGTAAGTTCTGTTTCTTCACTTCCTAAGGTTGGAACAGGATTGAGTCACAATAAAAAGAATTTAAAGAAGAAAATGCCTAATAGTAATAAGGGTAATAAGTATTCGAGTTGGTTACAGAAATAGGATTTTATCAGTCTAGCTTCGGCTCATCATGTGCCAAGTTATAGTATTTAATTTGAAAGATTATTTTTTACATTTACAAAGACGTTTTTGATACTTCAGATGAAATAAATTGTATAGCGATGTAAATAGCGATGTATATGTGACCATAATATGATTTAATGATATTAATTTATGAGAGAAATTTCGTCCAGTACCTTAAGTGTCTGATGTATCTCTATGTTATAGTATCACACAGTTACAGCCTGTAATCATGACGGATTGGCGGTTGTGATATCGATACCTATTTGACGAGGGCAAAATGGGCGGATGTTTTGAATTTCAAAATCCAGTAAACGCGCGTGAATATACGCGCAGAAGTCTATTTATCTATGTACAAAGCACGTTTTCAAGCTTAAGCGCGGCTCAAATCTCCTTGGTGATGGTATATTACGTCGGAAGGATCTAAATTCGGCCCAGTTGCCAGTAAACAAAACTGGAAATAACTGCTGGAGGGCACTTATAGATTTCCATCGGACGACTATACTTTATTTTGCGGTCTATATTGTGTATTATTCATAGAATCACTACCTATAGCTGCAAGGATGTCTAATGTTGAATCGTGGTGCACTGTCGAACTGACATCAGACCAGAGCCACAACAGAAAGCAACGTAAACATCATCCTGAACAGTTTAACAGTACTGTATTCCAGGTAAAAATACTCTAAATGTCCCATAATTAGGTTATGGTTGGGAATCATCATATTTTAATTTCGCAGCACAATTTTATCCTTATTTTATTAGAAGCTTACAACCTGATCTAATTTTCAGGCTGGAGCTCAGACAAGTACAGGACAATCCGGACGATTAACTAGTTTTAATACCTCTCAACCAAAGCTTGCTCAGAAGAAACATTTTCCTGCCAAACGTGAGTCAAAGAACGGTTTAATATCTTTTCATTTTTGGCACTCCATGTCCCATGATCCATCCCTCCACCAGTAACTTACACAATTTCCCCTAGGATGATGACTAAGTATAATATTTAATGGCATCAAAGTAACTTTTCATCAATCTGAAAACTTCCATCAATCTAAAATATAACTGCAGGCACTAATTACTAATGAGCAGTTTCACCATGGTTCACATGGCCACACAGCTTTCCAATCCATAAAGCTAACATGTAGATTGCCTAATCCCAAACCTGATAAAACCCATTTAAGTCCCGAATTATTTGATCTCCAACATAATCCAAGCAATTTAAATGTATTTGCCTTGAGGTTAATCTAAGTTTCATTTCATGAAATTTCACAAAACTTTAACTTCTTTTTATTTCAGATGATCACACGTTCCAAATCTAAGTTGGGAGCAACATTTAAAAACCCTGGAGGTACACCTCATAGCCTGGTGATATGAGAATCAGAGATTATACTGGCAGATACTATGATAGGACTTTTAAAGTTGAACTTTTCTTACGTCCACTATCAAAGTGATAGGCTCTCCATAGTAATTTCACAGAAGAACACTCCTTTAATTTGAATGCAGTTCCTTCGTGTCACCTTCATACTTTTTCTATATTCATTTCTAGGTGAAATATATTAACAATTATCGTATTTTACAATCGAAGATATTTATAAATAAACGAGACTTTGAGATCTAATATTATTAGGAAATAGGGGTGATGTATAAAAATTTGTGTATATAACAAGATAAGATATTTTAAATGCAAATGTTTCTGTAAAAATTGTGTGTATATTTATTAATATATACCGATGCTAGATTTTATTGAATAGCTATTTTTTGTTTCTTTCTATCAGTGTGTACAGTTCTTTAATATAGAGTATGGTATATTTATTTTTTTGATAATGTCAGATGTTCTTCGTATAATTTATTTTGCAGCTTTTAATTAAACTTCATCTTGTTATATTGTCTACTTTTACTGACCAGGGCAGAATAACCACATGTATCTTAAATATTAGATCATTTTAAGGGCTTTGTGGTATTAGCCATTCCAATTCTTGAATTAGGGACACTAGATCAGACCATTCGGGCTACATGTGATTCTTGGCTCTGTGGTAATTTTTCGATCAGGCAGATAAGTTTTTCTTTTTCAAACGAAGAACTTTTAACTCATTGGTATGGAGAGAAATTCGAAATATCCGAAGTAGGTTTAATGCAACTTAGCGTAAATAACTATAACCATGCACTAAATGGATTCTTAAAGATGCCCATAAGAACAGTGGCGTAACGAAGGACCCCGCTGTGCGGGGGGGGGGGGGTCAAAATCGTCGTTTGAATGTGGGACAATTTTGAAAAACTTATCTGAGGTTACTGGGCCTTACTGGGCCGCGCTCAGCCTGTCATTCCGCCAAATCTTTATTCGTATGTTAATGAACATAATAGCCTGGGGTCCTCAGGTAAACTGGGCCGCGCTCAGCCTGTCATTCCGCCTAATCTCTATTCGTATGTTTATGAACATGATAGCCTGAGGTCCCCAGGTAAAACTGAGGTACTAGCTAAACTGCACGTTTTGCTCTAGAAACACACTTTTTTAGAGATTTTACCGGCGTATTCTCTAAGATCGCCTAATTTGTTCAATTTTAGGGAGGGGCGCCAATACAACAGGGGGGCACATTTTCGGCGGGGGGGCGCCAACAGCTAACGTTACGCCACTGCCCGGAAAACCTAAGAAGTAACCCTACTCTAGTGGACTATTAGAATTAAATAAAACTACTATTTAACCCTAAGACCTAAGTAAATACTTGACCCTACAAATTGCCTCTAGTCTTACCTCATACTAAACGGCGACGGGCGATATTTTTCGGTTCATTTAGGTTTACAGCATGGGGACATTTCTACTTAATTTTGTCGTTTTTCTGTTCAAATCCATAATCAATTATTATATTATTAATTATTATATTATCTGCTGGATAGGATTTTGTATTTGGATGGCAAGCTTGCGCGCCACAACAATTCGGTCGAATTAACACGTATCTCATATGCGCGCACACAAGCCAGGTGTGCGCGCGTTATACTAACTTGTAACAATTAGGGACTTTTTATACAGGTGGAGCATTAAAAAGACACGGTCAGCAGCTTGCTGAGCCGCGCACTATTCGATTCGAGCCAAGTCAGAGTTGAATCATCAGTAGTACAGAAGCCAGTCTGAATATTATGCAATGGCATACGGAGGTGGAATGCGAGAAGATTAATCCACTTTTAAAGAGTAGGAACAAGTTAAACTCTGGAATGACTAATAAACTATCGATAGGTCATGGTTATTCTTCTCGTAAATACAGTGGTCAAAAGGTTAAAAAACACGTGAACTTTCTAGGTCAAGTTTCAATAATTCAATTTCTGATCAAAAAGACAAACTTGTATGTGTATAATTGTTGTAAACGATACCCCCAACGTAAAATAGTAATAATACAAAAGATTTGTCCGATCAATTAAATTGTCTTCAGGAATGCAATGAAAGTATTAATAATTCAGCACACGCAATCTTCTTGTAAAGCGGTAAAATGCATCTTTGATGAGATGAAATCACTGCAGTCAATGCATTTCTGGTCAATCAGAGGAATTCCACGAATTGTACCCTGAAATCGATTAGATAAATAATTCGACATAAATTCTGAGTGTAAAGCAATAAAATGGTACATGAAACAAAAATTTCATCGCTTCTGGTGAGACTTTTCAATTGCTCAGGACATAAGTGAATCCAGTATGCAGTGAGATGCCAGCAGCGCTCCCAACACCACTTCTTGCTAATTTGTCATTATATTTTCATAATTATGACAAATGTAACGCGTTTAACCGCCAGATTAGTGTCAGTACTGTTCGCAATTATCCCTCAGTATTCCAGCCTTACTTGCAGATATAAAGGCAAGTTCAAATCTAATAAATAAACGGCCCGATTATTGTATAATCATCCGCTCTGATCATCGGATATACATGAATATCAAACGAGCTATTTTGTAATGTACAAAGCTAAATTATTTATACAAGGGTGGATGTAACGGTCTCTCTTTCTCAATATTCATGACACTGGTTGCTGTACCAATGTAACTCAGGTCTCGTACACCTGTGTCAAAGTGAGGCCCTCACACAATAAGATTCTGGTTACACATGTAAAACAGGACAAAGGGAGGAGAAGGGCACCCCCAACCACCCACTCTCCAATGTAGAGGAGAGTCCGTTAGCAGGGCTCGTTACCGTTTCACTAATGAGTGGCTACCCTTTAGGCTGAAATTACCGCTCTTTGTTCCCCTCATGGAAGTGTGTGTAATTTTTAGTCAAAACCTAGTGAAAAGGGCTACAGGTTTTAATGATGTAGTTCACAGCGGTGGGGAGGTGGTGTCTCCTCAACATGGTATAAATGAGTCTGTGGACTCTCTTCTGACGTGATATATGTGGTCTATTAAGACTTATTAGGGGGAAGACTGGGCAGCACTTAGTAGAATGTGTTGCTACGTAATGGAGAGAAATGTTCACACTTTACATGTTGCAATAAATTGTAGTTTGCCTGGTTTCAGAGTGATAGCACCACGTTTTGAGATGATAAACATTAAATATTTGATTTTAATGTTTATGCTTTATATCAGGTGGTTCTTATAATTGCATTAACTACTTCCTAAGGTGCAGAATTAATGGATTTTAATCATGTCGGCACAAATGTGATAACCGAATTTTAATAAAAGACTTGCGAATTTTATTGAACAAAGCTCTAAATAGCTCCCTTTTTGATAGGGAACTCGTGCAATAGGGTCAATATATTGACGCAAAAATAATGGGTTTTGTGGGACAAAAACATTACGTTCAACGGCGCCAGACGAATGCTGACTGCTGAACACAATGCATTTCGCAATGTCTTAAACCGAGCCGCATTTATCGTCGGAAAAGTGCGAGATAACCATATATGGAATAATTGAGCTGATTAGTAGCGACTGTATTACCACATGCTCCATGATGGATGATCTGATTGGCCGGGCGTGGAACCCCCGACCAGCGAGATGCTAATAAGTTAACTACAGAGCAGGCGGCTTGCGAAATATGGCATATCCACAGCGTTATTATTATTATAGGGTATAGGGTATAGGGTTATCGAGCCTCTCTGCTCCACGATCTAGAAGATTGGGATTACTTCACCACGGCGACTAAGAAGGTGTTGCACGGTCAACCCCACCTTTAGCTAGCTAGCACCCCACCTTAAGCTCTTCGTTTCTCTCAATAGGGTTAGTGGCAAGTTCAGTCATGATACTACTCACTTGAAACTGAGGTCTTACTTTGGGGGGAAAGTTAGCTTATTGTTAAAGAGGGGTACACTGCACAGTAGGGGCTAATTTGGGATTTCAGTCACGTGATTGACAGCTGTGATGATTGCATATTATGACATTATTATTCCAAAATTAGAAAGTGTTCTGTCCTAAAATAAGATGGGGTAGGGCTGCTAAATTTAGAATACTATTCGATCATAGCAGAATGAATGGTTGGGTTAATAACCGGTATATGAAGTCTACAAAGCAACTCCCAAGTTTAGTATGTTGCAATGATTGAAATATTATCTCCAGAAATATTATCAGTAAACATTGCACCGCTAGGCGCTAGCTAATAGCTGGCTTTAAGTTGTCATTCTGTCTCGACTCTCAGTCCCTCAATACTCCGCAGCTCAATACTGATGGATCATTTCATTCTAAATATCTCATTATAGATCTTTACTCCACAGCAGCAAGTAAAAAGAGTTATAATGAGTTCCGAAAGTTTAAAAGCCCCCAGAATATTTCCTCAACCGGTCCGAATGACGTAGTAATAGTTTGTTTGACGTCACACGTGGGACGCGCGCCAGCGTCATAGTAAATGGAGGGGCTGTGTTTTGTTGTTGCACAATATCATAATATGTTTAAAAGGTTGGTTTATTCCACCCTTTTAATGGCTCTAATTTCAACTCAACTTTATACACATTAACTGTGTGTTTCTGGCTATTCTGGGACAATTGTCTCATTGTATACCTCACTTTCTGATCTACACACACAATAGCCGTCTCTAACTCAATGTGAAAGGCCCTGCACAGTTTAAACAACTGTATTAGAGCACACAAGTTTACTCTAATATACGGGCTCTATAGTCCCCCAAAGTAGTATAATGTATGATAGGTCGAGATAGAGGATAGAGTGCCGGGAGGCACTGGACTGCAGCATACACCGGGCAGCGAGGTTAATTATCAGCGTCCAGGTGCTACGATAATTAGAATGTCATGTGACCCGCAGGCCCAGCCCTATTGGCCTGTCCCGAGCTGCCCGCACGGTAAATGGTAAAACTATTGTAGCCCGAGGCAACAATTTGACCATACTTGACAAGGGTAATAAAGATAAATACCCTGGAGGGAAGACACGCGCCCCGCAGATCCCCCGCTAACAGGTGCACGACCTATAATTGGGCATTAAAGGGGTCACCTGACAGACCAGGAGGCAGCCTCATTGGTTACAAATCCGTCACGTGGTGGAGAACAGATCACTGATTGGCCAAATAGTTATACAGTAATTATGTAGGTGTGGTAACGATAGTCAGTAGTGCAAGGTCGACAACGTTCTCCTCGATGGTCGGTAAAATATATTGCACCACGTTTTATATTGTCAGAGAGATGAGACGACAGACGAGATCGAGCCGACCAGTCAGAGGGCTGATATAACTATCTACCAATGAGGAGGAGGAAGAGTTCTCTGTGCCTGATTTCAACGCATGTAATCATGTGGTCCCCAGTCACTAATGACCCAGAAATATTAAATATTCTACAAGCACAGACATTTAAATCTCGATTCGAACAATCCACCCACAAATACTGGCCTACATTATATACGACCATCAAATCAGGCTTAAATCTGAATATTTTCAATCCTATCCAATAGCATTTTTAAAGAGGTCCATCTGCAATAGATTTCAGACGAATATTCCTCATTCCGCTATATTACAGATACTAAATTATAGTTCAAAACATCATGAAATAGTTTTGTTATCCAATGCAGATCACTTCATCCCACACTTAAATGTCCATATCTCTCTCCCAGCCCACATGACTCCCTCAGATCCACATAAAAGGAGTAGTACTATGTACAGATAGGTCGAGGTACTTGCAATATAAGGCATCATGTCTCAGGTCACGCTACTTGCCGGAAGCCTATAATATCATACCGTACTGCGAGCTGTAATTAATTGTTTATAAGAGCACGCTATTATACAACTGTAATGGGCGAGCCCATTGGAGAGTTCAGGTCAGCTGAGCTGGGATGATCTTTGTTCCCTGCGGTTAGGAGGAAATCACGAGACTAACCTCACACGTGCCCGTTGGAGGTCATCATGTCACGTGACACAACGCCGGACATTTGAGTGGTCCGGGACACTCGGCTCGGTGGAAGTGATCCGCAGCACACTCGTACACAGTTCGTGTAGAAATGTCAAGTCAGCTGCCGGGTAGTATACCTGGATTTCAGTGACACTCCCTCACTGTGGATACACGAGTGGAGGAAGTCCCGAGTAGAGTGGACTCGGCCCTTACCTTTTAATATAAGGTTGTGGAATGTGGAGCGGAAGTACCACTTTCACTACCACTTCCCCTTCAGTTCAAGTTGGTACATGACAGCCAAATGAGGGTACCAAGAAATTAAACACAGAGAATAGGTCAAGTTCAATAATATCATGGTTACTGCCACTGCTCTATATTGATTATTGATCCAACAAAATTTCAGAGAACATAAATGATAAAAGACAAACATTATTGCTAAGCCTGGACACTGGACAGTTGCAGTGGACATGAAACATGCCTCGAAGCAACACGACTAATACAGCTAAGGGGCGGGGCCAGGGGAAAGTTTACAATGCTCATGATCCCACAAGAAACCTTCGGCCTCATGGAAAAATATCCAACATCACAAAAAGTTTCCTGAGAGCTTTGTCCCCATACTCTGCCAATGGGTTGAACCAAAAGAACTATCACTAGGTAGTATGTAAGGCCCGGGGACACCACCCCATGTTCACAATTCAAGCAATACAAGTGTCAAACCATAACCGACCAAACTCACAACTTCACAGAAGTTCACGTGTGAAAATGATAAGAACTGACAGAAAAACATCCCACGAAACAAGCGAAAGTGCAACTCAGCACAGACACACACAGATGGCCGGGTAGGTGATGAGTTCTCGTATTCCCTGGGGAGCCCGGGTAATTAATATAACAGTGCAATGTGTGCTGTTGAGTAGTAGACCCCAGGATATCCTATTCCCTCACTGTCTGCTCCGTTAATGAGACGAGGAACTAGTGCTAGGTTTGTCAGGCCCACTGGTCCGACCGACCGCGGGACTCGTGTTCCGAATCCTTACAATGTCGGGTGTAAACGTTAGTTATTTAATCCGATATTAAGTGGAACATACTTTGGGTTTAGCAGAGGCTGCAGGAGGGAGTACTCCCAGTTACTGCGGAAAAACCGATTACAGACCGATTCCACAGAAACCACTTTAGAGCTTTCAAAATTCTGAACCTGACTAGAGTTAAATGGTTTTCGTGAATAGTTTCCAGTTTTGGACAGTTAAACTCCTGAGAATTCTAAGAATCTCTCACGTCACCATCCCACGGAATGAATAAAGTAGCCCTCTAGAAATGCGTCCCAACATTTAGGATAGGAACATTATTGAGGACATTTATCCCATGTATAGATTTGATCCAGAGTAATAATAAGAACTCAATATGCGAGTCACTAAAAGCCTGATACCCACCCTGTCAGCACTCCTTACTACACGCCGCTTTATAGAGCATTCAGGGCGATTAACAATCGGTTACGTCAAACGTACGGTTTGTGCGTCAACCTGACCACTTACTGAGAGGCTTAAAACGACCGAAAGAAAACTCAAAACCATTGTTCTTGGAATTGAGGGAAAACTTAAACCACATACGCATAATATGAAGAATAGTTTATTAGTCACAAAGAGGAATAATGTGAATATTTTAGATAAACTTACAATTCATTTGTTATGATCGTTCTTTGTCTATATCAGATTGTTCAACTCCGCTAATGGTTTTTTCAGATTCACTCCAGATATCAGGCATTTTCCTGAAAATAACGAGGAATTATTCAGCTGTGAAACTCAGGCAGATTCCACGCCCAGACTTCCGGTGAACTGGCATCCACGGCATCGATAGGAATAAACATTAAACTAAATACACAGGAATGCATCTATTGTTTTTCGAATGGAAGGTTAGGAATTTCGACTGTCACCAGGTGTATTGCATACCTGAATATTTGAGCAGCATTCCAGACTTCAGTCATTCTATGACAGTTGCACTGTCTCCAAGGATCGTGGGTAAACGTATGTGAATCCTTAACCTCTGGAGTTCCTTAACCACTGCAGCGTTTCCAAAAAGAAGCTTGGAAACGAAGGGTTAAAGATTACTGTATAAAAACCATGCAATGATTTGACCATAAAGGAACAATTTGACCATTTTAAATTACCAATTGCTAAAGTCTCCATAAAAATCAATTTTGAGACTGGATATTTTGAGAGGGATGGTAATAATTTTGCCGATTGTTTGAGAGACAAAGAATAGTCGGGGGTTGCAAAGCAAACTTTAATAGCATGGGTACTAACTACAGCAATCACCGACCATTAAGAAATTATACTCGAAATCCACTGCATCCAAACGGTTGGAAATCGCTTAAAAGGCGACGCGTTTCTTGCGTCACATACATTCGAGCATTTTATTTGACTCGGAGCTGTTATTAAAGGCATGTTCTAAATGCAGTGGATTTGCAAGAAAAAGTGGTTGCTCTGTTTTCAATTTCTAAATAAATATGAAAGTAACAAATAACAAATATTTCTAATATACATCATTGGTACATATGCACTATAAGTAGGCGCGTACTGTAAGCTATAGTACTACATCCCACGATTCGCGAAACTAGAGCTACACGTTACTATGTTAGAGTAGTAAAGCTTTAAAGTGACGTCAGAAAGATGATGAGCTTGGAACAGCTTTGCTTTATAAGATGTTTCAATTCAACATTACTGATACATCAGTCTTCACTTTTAAGATAGTTTGATCGACACACATTGTGGATCTCAAATACAGGCCCTGGGCTGTTTGGCCGGTCAGGAGGGGTCAAGACACTGAACGTATAGCACGAGTCGCAAAAATTCATGCATTATATTTCCAAATTTGCCCACATAAAATCTTGTATATAAAATATCCACGTATTCGTTCCACAGCCAAGATAAGGAATTCGGTTATAGCTAGTACAGCATAATGGTAAATAGGTCTGTAAATATAGGCCTAAACGGGGGTTGGTAACTTTATACTGTACACGCAAAACCGTAAAGCATTTATTTTAGCATACATTATATTTTGAAATTTCTACACTTAAAGTTAGTATCGAATTACAATAGAAAACATTTGGTGTAAAAGGGTCGTATAAATCATTAGAATTTCTTTAAAACAAACTGATTTGCTAGAGATATTTTACAAAACCGAGTCAAGCTGTACCACGTGAAGCTACGTGAGACACTCGCGACAATGCGTCGCGTCTGCACGTCACAAAGGCACCTCACTGTTCTTACTACCCATTGGCATATCACAAAATATGATGTAAAAATGAAGCCTGTAAATTCCTCATAATAAAAATATATAATAGATACACAGCTTGAATTTGTAAAGTTCCATCGCACAAACAGTTAGCGAATATAAAAGTTGGAAAAATACCTCAAACACTATATGCACTGGAACCTTTGCTCGGGCATTCAAACCTTCATCATCATAATCTGTAGTACAAAATATGGGGCTAGAGGGAAAAAGAAGGACACGAACATAATCAACATGTGCCACATCCGGAGTCTCTTTACATATATATATACTAGGGCCCATATTTAATCAAATATATAGCACAATATATAGCACCATACTACAGTATTAGCCACACCATAACATAACGATTCATATCTACATTGCAAATAAAAAACACTAAAGGATAAAGGAATTGAGATGCTTTTAAATGTACTCCACACAGTTAACGTAGAACTATATCTTACAATATGTTATATTATTATCATTATGAATTGTTAGAAAAAGGTCAAATGTATTCTAAACCCCTACCTTGAATTATAATATTACGTCATTATGGATGTTTTCAATAATATATCAAATAATGTTGGTAAAGAAAAGGTTCCTAGTGAAGTGTACTGAGCTGTTGGGCCGAAATGCTTTGAAAATAATATCGATAGCTAGTAAATATATATAATGTAGATTATGTATATTATATATATATAATCGTACAAAATCAGGAAAGTTCTTAAACCCATTAATTTTAAATCATGCAATTCTACAAAAGAGTCTAAATCATAACTGAAATAAGGAATAAAATTGGAAACTATGAAATTCGATATATTTGAAAAAGAAACCATTGATCAATTTTATCAAAAATCATAATTTAAATATCGGTTGAAGTAGCGTAAAAATACTATAAAATAATGATAAGAATATATTATATATTGTATAGATGTTAAGCTAGCTTATAATATGATAATATTGATACACTTATAAAGACAAAGAATATATTATAATACTTATTAAGACTGCTTTTTTGGGTAAAAAATTTAGTCTTCACCGACTTCAAAAATAGCGATCTATTAAATGCTAGAAGTTAATTCTCAAAATTCCTATTATTCCATATTTGTCCACAAAATAGTTGCTGGATGGTAAATGGGCTATCACGTTATAATAGCAAGTGTGCGGTACTATTCACTATGATCGGGAGTTTGTAGCCCTCTTTGTTAGGGAGGCCATCATGACGACGCAGGAGGACCGCTAACACAGAGCTGTTATACCGCTACAAGGTATAATCACACACACTCTCTCGTACTCACCAAGTTCGTGTACAATTTAACATTGTTTGGCAACAACTATATACAGGTAGCTCAGGTGAGAGAGAGCGGGTTGGTGACCAATGAAACTAAAGCAAGCAATGTGTTTAGCCAATCAGAGGACAGGATTCGGAGCACGTGATTTGAGAGTGATAACAGGAACAGAAGGATCACGTTTCCTGTTGCCGAGCTACGGTAGAGGCCTCACAGCTAATACTTTTCTCACAGTAACTAGTAGTTGTGTTCAGTTATTCTGTGTACACAGGGCCGTCGGCATGTACTGGAAATTACGAACATGTATTGGAATTTAGCATGTGAAGGGACAATTTGGGAGTTGGAAATCTGTTTGTTGATAGCTGAAATATGTCCCATTGAAAGCAACAAGGTACATTATTAGAGGTAAGTGCACTGTTAGAGGTGTGTGAGACGGAGATCTGGGTTTGGCTGAACCGTTATAATACATTTAAAACATCTGCTTGTCTAAGTAGCATGTAATAAGATAAATGTGTACCGACGTGTGCCACACACAGCCGGGTGCAGAGCAATGCCCCCCAAGGTTCCTAGCAAGCCAATCAGCGCAGCTCCTGTCACACACCGCCCAATCAGGTGGTAGTATGACCTTACACGTGGTGTAGATGTAACGAGAGTTTTCAACCTCCCGTGTGATAACGCTTACATTTACATACCCAGCAACAAAATTGTGCACAATATATGGAATGTGTAATACCTTTACATGGACAGAATATCAAAATCTATGTTGCTCTTGGAAAGAAAATTCCGTACAATGTGATAAGGTTGTGCAGGCTTTCTCAAGAAAACCGTGCAAATCTGGATAACGTTCCAGGAAATGAGATAAAGCTAGAACAATGGCAAGTTTCTAAACCCCGTGATAACTGGTCACATGACATGACACGTGACAATGTAACCGAGAAACAGATAACAAGAAATGTGATCCAACATCAACATGTAACCAACAACTATATAAAGTGCGATCAAGCTGTTTTATTCAAATAGTATATATTATGCTAACTTCTTTGCCGTAGAAAGATTTAAAAACTCCAAAAATGGCGCAGTTTGGCAGGAACTGCATTTAAATAACACTATAATGCACCAGTTACATATATAATATATTATGTAGCAATAGCAAACGTGATTACCGTAACATTATAATATATAGTACTTATTATTAATAAACCACTCTTGACAAATAATATAAAATCAAATACAGATTATCCACTAAAAGAGACAACAAAATATTTGTGTGCTGTTCACTCCAAGATGTAGAGATATCAAGAGAGAGAAAGAGAGACCTGAGTACTCGCAAACTAACTTATACATATGTTGTTAAGTTTAAATTTCACAAATTAATAAATATAACGTTAAACTAAAGGGTAACGAAACGTAACGAAACCGTATATAATATTAAATAAAATCTGCAGTAAAAAAGGTGTTTAAAATTCAAATTTACAATGTTTGGAGCTCGCACAATATACTGAAGATGTAGTTCATACCACCAAAGTTCTATACAATTTTATCGCTCATCACTTCATCTACAGATAGTTTTAAAAGCTTCAAACCGCAAAAGTTACCGGGACAGAATCTATTCCATCACCAGGGCAACCGTTGCTGTTTGCCAGTTAAAAGCATATAACTTTACGTTAAAAGGCCGTCAAAGAGGTCTGACCAAGTAATATATTTATTAAGTCTAATTCTCAAATTGCATTCTATGTTGGTTTAATGACTGCACAGTTAGATGAAAATATAAAAAACAGGTTTCACATATCACATACTAATCTTTCAAAACGTGTTTTTTCATCAGGTAAAAAAGTGAAAATACAGAATGTATAATAATATATAACAAAGCGCAGCGTCATAGCACATTGTATAACAGACAAAAACTACCAGAGGCATTCGTTACCAGACATCTAGATGCTCTGGTAACCAGGCAACTAAGGACCAAGCAACTAGATCTTGAGATTACCAGGCTTCTCCAGATGTCTGGTAACCAGACAACTAGATGTTAGTAACTAGGCAACTATATGTAACGAGAATAATGACCACTATCAGACCACGACATTGTTTTTAGAGAGATGGAAGTAGGATCATCTACAAAGCTTCTTTGAGAAGGACCGTATAACTTTAACTTTTTGTACACAAGTTTACCATCTGAATGAGTTGAGAGACCTGGACCTGTCGGCTCCCTCCTTGACCAGGGGTTTGTGGAACTCTCGTCCTGGCTGGGTGTGGGCCACGCTCCAGCAGTGCTCACAGAAGTACCGCAGACAGGAGATGTGCCCACAGAAGAAGGGTGCGAACTTTCCTCCGCAGTGCTCGCCGTTACACTCGTCACACAGCTGATCGTCTAGAACGTAGGGCTTGACCTCGACCTGTGAAATGGTAGCAGATGTTTAATAAAGTTTGAAGGGTAAGAATATTGTACGGAACGTTTGTTTTTTTACACTCACTTTGCTCAACTGAGTTACTCAACACAGCCCTGCTAAGTCTCGTGATTTTATCGCGTGGTGTAACATTAAGAACATTCTAGAGCTATTCTCAAGTCTCAATCTTAGAAGGCTCCAGACAAACACGCCCATATTGCTCAACACTAATAAAAATAGATTGCATACATCATCAGCTGTCGAATTCTAAATGATTCGTCGCTTAAACCATGGGAATAAATGCACGGAACCATCCAAAGATTAAAACATGAAATTTTGACTAGACATTTCATTATTAATTAAATGCAAATTACCTTTTTGTCAATGTCCCCGATTTTCAGCTGAATGAAGCGGTTGTTAATAGCGTTGATGTAACTGGTGTGGTTGCTGAACGCAACTCTTCCCGCACCCTTAGGATACTTCAATTCCGGGTCGACATCTATTCCAGCATAGCAGACACCAGAGTAATACTTGTTCATTATAACCGCCAGCTCAACTGAAAACAGATCATTTAAAATGATGTAATCTTTTTTGTATCAACTTATTTTAAAGTCGAGTTTCTAGAATAATCTAAACTTAGTACGTCTAGACAAGTTTTTCTAAACCTTTAAGAAATGAACAAATTACCAGATCGGAGAGGTCTGGGGACTCCACCCACGAAGATCGTCTTCCGCGGATCAAGGGGCTGAGATCCGTCCATCACAAAGTCAGCGTCTTGGAGACTCCACGGTCTTATTTGAACCTTTTTGAAATATATTGTTAAAAATATATAAAACAAAGATCTATCATCTTGGAAAGATGTCTCGAAGTATATGTTATGAGTGGTAGGCTTTGTTATCTAAAATATGTGCTGTATCTAGCTATTTAGCCTCTTGAGGTAGCTCGCGTGTATTAAATGATGAAAACTTCTAAATTTAAGGCAGTGAAATCTATTGTTGTGAATTGGTTTACACTCTGAGTCCCGAGTGTGAGACTGGATGTGTTATTTCCCAAAAGCTAGATTACAGGGTTACACAGCACCTTACTTCCTTCTAGACAAAAGTCTTCATGATTTATCATGCCACGCGCCCTTTTAAATCCACCAGAACCGCGTGATTTACATCTTACACCTTAATTAGGACAACAACTCAAGACTGTTCCTCGCGAAACAATGGGCACCTCAATGGTTCTACTCTTGAACTCTAGTGAGACGTGACTGTGTAAGTGTGTGAACTGTAAAAAGAGCAACTCTTTAGCATGTGGAAGGCGAGATTTACAAAATTTTGTGACCGTTTAAAGTATGAAATGTCCTTTACAAGGGGTAATTACACCCTCCCCGAGATTGGAGCAATTCACCTGACGACCTGAACATTTCCAATTGTTTTGTTCTTGATGGTTGCCTAATGCCAAAGCCAGATCGAGGGCATGTCCCCACATTTTACAATTCGGCCCTCAGTCATGGGTTCGTCCAAACAGATGTGGTTTCTGTTTTGGTGGGCCCCGTGGGGCTCTGTCCCTTATTATGTCACTCTAATTAAATAGCGGACACGCTTGTTGAAGGACGCTAATAAGCGAGAGTATATCGGCCCTGCAGGGTAGCCGTGCTCACGTGACCCCTCACATGACCAGTGAGGATGAAAGTAAAGTGTGAACTACAAAGTGTAATAGTTACACAACATCCTGTGTGCACTGTTGATGCGGTATAATGACCAGTTGTGTGTGATGTGCGGGATTGGTCGTATTGTGAGTCATCAACACTGCACTCGTTCAACACTGAGAAGAGCTGCAATTGTTTGACACGTCCACTCTTAAATGAGGGCTGTGGCCTAAAACTAACTATTATTATGTATAATGGCGCTCCCCGGGTGTAAAACTAACTGTTATTATATATGACAGGGTTTAAAACAAGCTACAATGTGGCATTCTGGGACCTGGGTGAACCAGATGTGAGTTTAGAAACGTGCTAAATAAGTTTACATTTAAACTTAAAGCGCACGTTTACGTTTAGTTATTTAGCGTTTAGAGTTTACAGTATCCTAACTATTTGAATTGTCGCTAGGTTACCAGATCCAGAGGTTGGTAAACATTGGGTAAACATTTTAGCTGATCGAAAATTGACGTGGTTTAAAATAGGAAAGGTATAAATGGAATAATATGTACTAATAATATGAAAGGAAAAAAACAATAACAATACTTACAAACTCTCGACCCACATTCTGTAAAAGAGAACACTTGATAAATATGGTTGGGAAAATATAATCCAGATTCTGAGCAGAACATCAAGACAGAAAGGCATGCGCCCAATCAGAAGCAAGGTATTTTGGAAGACAATCAAACGAGCAGCAGAAGGTAGAAGTTTTGCATCTAATTCTAATCAGAGACTTCAGCTTATATCACTGAGTTTTAAAAAGGATTTCTCGTATATTCGTTTGTTATCATCATTTTGATCATAAATCATTCTCACTTTCATCGATAGATCATGCGGACTTTGTTTCTCATTACTCATACACAATGACTTACACGTCAGTACACTTAATAATAGACTAATAAAACCGTACCTACACCTCAACTCTCCTATTAGCTATACGCACACATACTTGGGACATTCTCTGGCTCCAGCATACTTGCAGCTGATAACCGATGCGGGCCAGATCCGAACTCTCCCCACATACTCCCACATGATCCGCACGACGCATAAATTCCTCGCCCACACATGATCCACATAAATCCTCTCGCACGAGTCCGGGCTCACGCAATGACTTGCCCCGTCTCTACTTGCTCCAGAATACAATGACCACCACCTAATCGCACGAAACCATCTACATAGTCAGATAGTGAGCAGACGGTCCTTAGCCTTTGTGAGCTGCGAAATAATTTGCAGCTATGCAATTAACTTCACAAATCGGCCTCTCTTTCACACTGAACATTGATCTCTCACACTCGCACATTTTCGCATTGGATTGTGTTATTTGGATTTTTATCATAAAAACGCTAATAAATGCAGACTATTATGAATATGCGGAGTTTTACTTTTAAGGTTAAGCCCCACCTAGACTCAGCACATGTACAGTGGTTTGGAAGATAAGATAGATAAGAATGGCGAGAGTAAGATAAGACATGCAGCTGATACCAAGTATTCATAACTGAGGTCTGAGACCTTTAAGTCTCCAGAAAAATAATCATAACACCAGAGCTTGAGAGAAAGAAAATCAGCAAAGAAAATCAGGCAAGTTAGATAATATGATGCGGAACTTGCGTCCTATTTCTTCATCATTCCGCTTAATTATGATTACTTGAATACTACGTAGGATTGAATAACTCCTATAGATCCAAGTACTAATTATTGCATAACTGAATACCATTTAAAACCCTGGCTCTTGTCTACACACTTAATTACTTCATCTTTTAAGCGGAATCACGATGTTAAATCATCATAATGCAATCTACCTTTCCGAGTTCTTTAAGGCCAAAATATTGTTATCTAAAGTACGTGAATGTAATATCCATGCACTAAAACTCTCGTTATCAGATTACAGTTCCAAAGCAGTATAATTATCCCCCACAAGGAAATGTAATCATACCATATTAGGTAAAACTTAGCCTTTAATATACGAGTAGAGGGAGGGAAGCTCAGGATTTAATGATCTAGTGAGCTCTAAAAATAGAGAAGTCAGCGCGAGCAGATGCTTTATATTTCATAATCGATCGGTTATACACTGAAGGATGTAGCTTTTATAGCGTTCCTACTGTTTAAGCAAAGCACTGTTAGAAGCGGCCAATGCAGCCTAAGTGTAGCAAGGTGAAGTATAATGTAGCAGAATGTAGCAGTGGTAGTGTAGCAAACATGATAGCATAATATTGTTGAATAGCAGAAACAGCATTCTATTCTAAACAGGGTGACAGCATGAGCAATATTCTTAACACATATGGAATTGTGTTTTTAATCAATGATGTCAAAAATGCATTCAATGCAGGTGACATTTCCCAGGGCGATTGTAAATTGCACAAATTAGATAATTTGTCAGGACTCAGGATTGAGCCTGCACATTGCATCAAAGTTGGTTTGGATACTTTGGAATCATCCCATGTGCACGAGGTTAACATTATTGAGCTAATTGCGATTACAAAAGCTCTGGGAAATGTCATGCTTTAAAAGCCCTAGGGTTGCATATTGATATGATAATTTGAAAAATTGGACATGATTGATCACATCAAAATTCAAGGTGGTTAATTGGATAACACTGATCGTGATTATCAAAGAGCAACCCTATGACTTTGTCATAGCAATTAAATAATATCTTGTAAGATTGGAATCACATCGTACCTGCTTATCCTTGAGAGTGGGGGATGACACGAAGTAGTAATACTTTCCGCCCTCCTGCTTACACATGCTTATCAGTGCCTGGACACTGTACTCCTCGTGGAACAGCAAGAAAGCGTACCCTGAAAAGGAGATTGGGGGTGAGAATGAGACGGGCTCTTTTACCCCTCACTACGTTGCAACCTCGACCCGGAGGGTTACAATTTAGCTTCTGTTAAGGTACGAGTGAGTGCTAGCGTTGGTTGTTATTCAGATTATGATGGAGTTGAGGGAAAGTGATCAGAGCCGGTGTTTAACCAATAACCATGTATAAAATGGTGAGATGCAAATTGTTAGAGGTTAAAGATGGGATTCTCGGTATTGATTGAGGCTGGAAGCTACCGTTTAAGTTCGTGTCTTATGTATTTATCTACCCTACAATTCTCCTAAATCATTCCATAACCGTTATAAGGATGAGTTTAACCCGGGCCAGACCCTCATGATTATGCTATTATGGTTTGTATGCCCGCGGACAATGCAATAATTAGCACCAGACCACACAACAGCCCGTGGTTACTTTATTTATGTTTCCAAGAGACGACTTGTGAATTCACTGAATATTCAGTATCAAGTGGACTGCTTGACCCTCTGCTCAGCACTTGGTCCCGTTTACGGTCTGCTAACCCTTTGTAACTACAACACTCCTCTAATCACCAATCTGAAGCACGGCTCCCAACCATCTAATTGATGGGTTTCTCTGCTCATAATACTTTTCTAGGAACTGTATGAATACAAATTCTCTGGACACACAGAGCCATCTTAGCGAGACACTTCTTGTGAATAGTGATTTGTGAATAGAGTCGGGTCACAGCTAATCGCTTTCGCCAATCATCTGTTTTGTGAGGTAATCCAGTGCCGGACACACCACCATCCATATCGCCATTGTCAGCAGTGTACGATTAGCGCCGCCTCTCATAGCTATATAATATTGAAAAACAACACACAAAGCTTGGAGCTGATCACGTGCTCTGTTCTGCTAACAATGCTATTCGATCGTCTCACCTCCTAATCTCAGCTATTGGTCCAGCCATCGCTCTAAATCCAATCTAATCGCCGAGAACCGATGACTCTCTCTCTCTCTCGCTCTCTCCGTGCAGGGCCGTGTGAGATTGTATTGCACTCTCTCCCTCGCACTACTTCAACTTTACCGTATAAGGCATGATGGGTGGCTAGTTTAGATTGCACAACACTCGCGAGCACCAGGAGAGGAGAGAGTGGAGATGTGGCCTCATCATGTGATGTCCAGTAGAGCTCGGAGTGTACATTGTGTTACACACTCCCTCTGTGTTGGAACACGGAATAGAACCAGCTAACTTGTACACGTTAGGATATTGGATATTGGATGTGGACAGACGATCAACATGTGTTGTGATGTTGAAATTGTAATGGTGATCACATGGAATAGGGAAAATGGATGGAAAATGACAAAAATTGGAATATTATGTATCATAACGACAAAAATAATGACCAGTAGTTTTGATAACAATAATTACACAGGTGGTAGTTATTTACATACCTTTTGGAGGGAAGGGAGCTCGGCTCTGAGATTTGTGCGGCCAGTCCACGTCGAGACTTCCAAAGTGGCAGAAGCTAGCATGAATCTCTCCTGGGAGGGAACCGAGTTAGACAGGACAACTTTAATCTGACCAGCTAATCGCAATCTTACATTCACTTTCGCTGCGGGCTATTCCACAAGATGCTGATCAATATTCTGGGCTGCCAGACAGTAAGTGTAATAATTCTCCTAATTATCTCAATCGTGTAATTGGCACGGTTAAACAGCCCAATTATACTTTTAAAGCATGTCTAAAATTGCACAGCATTCTCATTTCCCAGTGTAAGGTTACATGTTTCGCCGGATTTCACCTGGGCGGGGAAGGGAACATGCACGGGCTACGATCACACATGTCACGCCTGATTCATCACACGCAAAATTATAATAGTGATCACACAATCACACAATCACAATCCCACAATATGTAGAGAGGTTACAAGGTAATATATAAGAACAACATGCACATGTCACAGAGAAACTACAAGGTAACGGTGAAACATACTATTTTCATGATCTCCTAATAAAACCTGAAAATTTAGAAGTTGTTCATTAGCTTGGTTGGGAGAAGTAGTAGTTGGAGTGAAACAAAATAATTACAGATATTGTTTGTGGCGCCGTGATCTATTCTAGGACATAAAATTGTCGAACATTCAGACGAAATCTTATTTTAGCTTCGTGATGTCAATTTTGTTAGAATTAAAGTCTATTATAGTATAGATGAGACAATGAGGAACGATAATAATACAAGTTTCTTATTTATCGAGTGAGCTCGAAACTATAGCCCATTGTTTTGACCTAGTTTGACATTTCAATGAAAAGCATTCCCATTGTTGGGAGTTAACTTCTCAATAATTTCTCAGCCAGTAATTACCCATAGTAATAATGAGTAATAATGAGAGTCGCAGGGCAACAAGCTCTCTGGTCAACAAAATGGATTGGTCCTGAGCATATGTTTGTGGAAAACAGCCTGACGCGAACTATGCTCATCTTTATTAGAAGGGCTAGAGCCGGAGATGTGAAAATTGCGGACAAAAGGCGGTGCGGCCAGCTGGCTCATTATACCATATAAGGAGCGCGAGGCAGGCTGAAGATGTCGAGGCGCTGTGATGTGTACTAGCAGAGGTGGGCGTGTCTTTAGAAGGTACGACCTCTGTGAGGAATTATAGTCTATTTATAGCCGTATCAACTCTGTGCGTGCAGTTACCGGAGATTAACTCTATTGATGCAAAATGCACATGGGACCCGGCCGATGGTAGTGTAATGGCGATGTGTAACAACTACAAGCTTCAAGGACTCTAGTAAAATCAACTGCCATTTCCTTATGTTGGTAAATATGTATGTAACAGTCTGTATGGCGGGATGGAACTACAAAATGGCTCAAACACTCCATCTAAGACTGTGGTAAATAGACCTTGTAATTAAGAGCACCAAAGAAATGTAACTCAAGACTCTGGCGCCATAATTTCGTGCGTTAACGTGGAATTGCAGGGGGTGCATAGCGGTTGATAAACACCACGATAAACAGTTTTAACTTGCAGTAGCTACACCCTTTAAACTGTAGAGCCATGTAAAACAGAAGATAAAACACGGATATTTAGCTGAGATTCAGGGACAAAAGCAAATGTTTCAGGCCAGAAAAGCAAGCTAGCAAGAGAGCTGGAGAAGGTATATAAGCGAGCCTAGCCAAAGCAAGCAAACACCCTGCGACACATAAAGGGATAAGTAAGCACTTACTTTCGTCGATATCTGGGGGAAGTCCGCCAACAAAAACTTTCCTAGAGTATTTCTCTCCAGGAGGATCGTAGTGAAACTTCCTGATCGGAGAGTCCTGGATTGAGGGGTGGAAGACTTGCTCCGTGCTGTCTTGATTCAGCAACTCGTACAGCATTGTTTCTGAAGAGGAACGTCGATGAGGAAATTTGTTCACTAATATGATTTCATCCTGGCAACTTAAAACTTTGATATAATCATAACTGGCTTTATTACTAGAATATGTAGTTAACATGTTATAACGCTATATAAAGTAACACGAACCAGTAGCCGACGAAGCCTGAGGGAGGAAGTTGAGATTTGGATCTGGAGTTTCGTTCATCCTGCTGCCACCATTGAACTGCATTGGTCTTGGCACTGAGTTTTGCTGAAGAATTAGAATTCGTGTTAGGTTAATGTTAGATTGGTCTTCACAGCGCTAAGAGCTTTCAAACTTGGGCCTTTTCAATAGAATAATCGGTTGATATAATTAAAACACGAAAGAATTGGATTATCATGCAAAAGAGTGTCAATATGAGAAGTTAGAATCCGACCCTTTTGGTCTTGACTTTTAGGCTCTGCATAGTTATTGTCTTATTTCCAGGCTAGGGGAGTAAACACATGTAATTCTATTCTAATGGTAATCATATGAGACTGGATCGAAATGAAATTTACTCAACCTGTTCATATTACAGTAACTATCTGTTAATTTGATGAAATTTGATTAAAAGATGAAATACTGTATGTTGTATAGAATTAAAATATGTAACTTCTATTTGAGTAGCATTTCTTTTAACAGAAACGTCATGACCGCAACGACATAGATCATGACGTCGAAGTATCTGTCCATTAGGGGAATTTTACTTTCAATGTGTCATGTGAGCGCATTTGTAGTGCTTCTGCCTTATTAACTTCGAGATTTGCATTTCAGAAACATTATAGGACTAATGGTGCTCTCAGGCAAGTGGAGCGAACCACAATTAGACCATTTTGGGGCACCAAATACAAACTTTTAGGAGCTCAAGGGGATTTAGGGTGCCCATTGAGAGATGATGACACCCCACAAATGCAGGATCCTAATAGGACTTGATTGATCTAATTAATCAGATTCGACAGAGCCATATTAATTTGGCATGCAGTAAAATCTCTTCCAGAAAGATTGAGCTGGAAAGTGGCTAGTAATGAGTGCACAGGCGAAAAGCTGTAGATCGTGTCAGAAGAAATGATCTTTTTGTAACAGTATGCAGCAGACAGCAGCTTTAACATGCAAGTAAATAAGGAGTACTTATCAAGATGTTAACGAGAACAAGATTACATTGAACAATGTTTACATTGAGACAAGCAATTGTTGCCAAACATCAATTAATGCAGCATGCATATCATTTTATCCATTGATCTTCAGATTCAAAGTAGGGTTTGGAAAACAAAACAAATCACAGATGAATTAGAAGAGCGCATGCCTCAAGATGCTACATGTAACATTCTGAAGGATTAACTTGCACAGTGCTCAACAAATATCAAACCTTTAAAACTTGGTTTCCACCACCCATAAATAGATTTTTTCTCATTGACTGATAATATAGCTGCATGTTTGGATCTTTTTTGCAGCTCATAGTGTTAACGGTTGCTATGTCTTCCTCAGTTAGGACAAACGTAGGAACCTGTGTACATCAGGCTTGTAATCTAGAAGAGCTCCCCTACTATATAATATACCATAACACGGGGACTATTATTTTACGGCATGAGCTAGCGCGAAGCTTAGCAGCACTCGCTCAGAGTTTATAGCCTATTCTATGGCAAAATGAATCCACAAATTTAAAATGATTGACAGCGAATATTGTTTCAAAATTCTCACCTTGGAAGGGATGACAGACGAATCTCTTCCACCAAATCCAGAGTTGGACCTCCGCCCAGGGGAGGGCATGTTCTTGAACGCGTTTCTCATCAGGTAGGTCTGCAGATTGTTGTTTACAGCGAGTTGTGCAGCCAAGTTGGAACCCCAACCGTTAGGGTTGCCGAAAGCAGCCATCGGAGCAGTCGGGCCATTGTTGAAGAGAGGTCTAGAGAGGGAGGGAGGGTTGATTGTTGGAGAGGAGAGGCTCTGAGCAGCCCAGGAGGAGGCATTTATTGCGGGGTTTGATACCCACTCGTTCAATCTGGACTGGTTGGGAAGGTTGTTGAGCTGGGAAATTGTGTTATTCTGTAAACCATTCTGTAAACCATTCTGTAAACCATTTCCCAGTCCCGGTCCGTAGCTGGTCGATGTAGGGGAAGAGTAGGATGAGCTGTAAGCAGAAGATGAGCTCTGATTACTTGCCGCATCGTTGTTGGTTGAGATGGTCAGGGACTGCAACACTTGGTTCACGTCATCAAGACTAGAGTTCCAGAACTGCTGCGAGTCGTAGATGTCAGTTGCAATCTGCTCTGCTGTGCTAGAGTTGTCGTCACTGTTGTTTTCCCGGATTATGTTTTCATTGGAAAGAGGACTACACTTCAGCGGGTCGTTCAGGCCCGGCCTTTGGAATGTTTGCTGGTCCAACATCGTGGATCCTATGATTTGAGGCATCAAGCTAGGATTGGGTGGTCTAGTAGCGATAATTGCCTATTGCAAAATAAGGTAGTGGTAACATGATATATCATGATTCAGCAACAGTAATTCATATAGTGAAATAGAATAAATGGCACGGAATAAACACATTTAAAGCAAGAATGGACTTGTCGACGCAGAAAAGTACCGTCGGTCAATGCAGTTCCGCTTGAAACGAACTATTGAGATAGAATAATTAAGGGGAAAATTCTAAATTTAATAAGATGTTCATAACATCTGCTGTTAGACGATATGGGGTAAACTTAATATAGTAACATTTTAACTTAATATTTGGGCATAAACTACACTTAACTTAACATTCTTATGCAACCAACTATTAACCTACTCAACTTAGGATACTCAATGCAGATTGAGGATACTTATCACGTTGTGTCATATGTTTTATCTAGAATTCCGCCGTAATAAATGAACCCTTACAGCTGATCGGGCTTTTAGGATACAACTATGTTATCCATTATCATGTGTACGGAGCAGTTTCATATTAAGCGAGAATTCATATCAATAACTTATATAACAGCTGAGATATCAAACGATGTGTTAAAAATAATGGCTACGAACAGGTAAAGAGCTTGTCTGAGATCCAAACTAGGCTGAGGACTCAGAGGAAATGCAGGCAGAGCGATAGTGGTACGCAGCTCAACACCACAGGTCAACACGCCGGATCATAATAGCAAAATGGCTTATAAATCATCTATCCAGTGCCGAAACTACGTCTCTGTCGCAAGATACACCTCATTAAATACATAGTTTGTGCGCGGCGCTACAAACTTTCCTCAATTTATACCTAATTATTTATCTCAATCTTGTTAGTGACTCAATTAATGACAATGCATGGAACCAATCAATTAAAACTAAAGGATCTTGCTGCTTTCGTGACGGTTGATGAGGCATTATTGAACCAATATTGATACCTTAATTGTGAATTGGGTAGGTCATAGGTGTGGTGTCTGAACCATCATATCACAGATCGATACTAGTATCGGAGGCCTTTATTGAACATATCTTCACACTTCATTCGGTTTATAAACACGAAACCAGGGGTCCTCATACCAGGTAACAGAATTAGATCAGGAATAAATTAACAATTGACTTGTTATGTCTGTCACGCGGCTTTTACTAAATCGCTCGCCCAAAAATTTCGCGTGACTTTGGTTTTTTTGGTTTGCAGCCGTACAAAACGGTTTTACATAAACCCTAATCCCAACCCTAACCCTACCCATAACCCCGAAGCTATCCATAATCATAACCACAACCCTTACCCTAACCCGAGCCCTAAATAATCGAATTCACGTTTTACTAGCCTGTCACGTGACCAAAACGGTTTTTTGCCCATAACTCTCCAGGGAAGCATTTTAACCCTAGCTACGTCATGGGGGGTGATTCGGAATCAGCGTCCAAAAATACACCGATCCAGATCACTTTCATGCCAAAATGGCCTTTTCACAAGAATTTTCTTAAAATTTGGGCGAGCGATTTAGTAGGAGCGCTGTCACGCACGACGTGTCGTCAGTACAGTGTTCAGGGCACATTTTTAATAAACGTCACGATGTTTCATACTGCGATGTTGGATGTGTGATTGGTGATCTGGAACCAGCGTCCAAAATTATACATTAAATTACCAGTGCAGTTACATTTTCAATTAGACATACCCTCTAGGCTTTTTTTCATTTTTTCTCTTTCATATTCTATTCACTTCACAATTTTTTTAAAATTTAGGCAAACAAGTAAGTTGTAAGTGGGAATTAAAAATTAAAAATTAGTTTATAATTTGTAATTGTTTGTTGCCTTTCCAGAAGGAAAATTGGAAACCGTGCCACTTGTATGTTGTACATATTTTAATGTTTTACTTTGGGCTAAATATAAATTTTCAAAAATGAATTGTGCAAGTTAAATAATTTTAACCAACCATGAATCAAAAAACAACAATTAAATAATATTTCATACTTTGATAATTGTCTAAATTTCTTCAAAATAGCGCGTGCCGCGTGCAGCTTTTTTTTCCAAATTATGACCAACGACAAATGACGCCTAATTAATATTTATAACTTACCTAGTCTATTATGTTATTAGAGGCCAGGAAACCTTCCCGGTTTAGTTGGGGCTTATCTCTAACATCTAACACAATTTAGCCAATCAGTCTTCAGAGGACATGAATCTGCGAAGTTAAAGTTGCAAACTTTTATTTGGCCCAAAATGAGACGTTTTGCGATACACGATAACCCAAAATCTAAATTGTTTCAAATCTATTACCCCTAGGGGAGTGAGAAGTTAATTTTATATTTAAGAGGCGAATATTTTTCAGGCGAATATTTTTCAAAAACCGGAACACGGAAGTCTTTAACGAATGTTCAATCATCAATGTTACTCGTCTAAATTTCTTCGAAGTAGCGCGCGTCGTTTTCTACTCGACATGTTGCCGAAATGGCCCGATGGCAACAGGCAAGTGCTACGAAGTAGCGCGCGCCGGGCCAGATCATTAACAATGGTCAAGGAAGTCTCTATTTCTTTTATTTTCGGAGAAAGGCCCCAACCTGTTACTGGGCCGCGCTCAGCCTGTCATCCCGCCAAATCTTTATAATGTTTATGAACATAATAGCCTGGGGTCCCCAGGTACAAGGTAACCAACCTGCATCAATTGATTCTTCTCGCAATCATGAACCACAAATAGATTCGGTAGATCGGCGAGATCAGATGCACTACTGGGCCTCGCCGAGCTGCGAAGGATTGACATCGTGAATCAAAGTTTAAGTTTGCTGGTACAGTCTCCACTCTCCACTATCGCTCAGTTCACGTTCTTGACCGATGTTACTCGTTTAAATTTCTTCGAAGTAGCGCGCGCCGCTTTCTTCTCGATGGCAAGTTATACAGCATATGGCATAGGGATTATATTATTACTAGGGAAAGCGCGCCTGGTTACTGAAGACTGTAATATATATATATAATAAACTTGGGGCAAGAGAAAACATAGTCGCATTCATAGCCCTATACGAAAAGTAAACCTCATCTCTATCTACGAGAGGGAGTGTCACTGGTAAGGTGAAAGCTGTCAATTGCCAATACAACCAACACGCCACGGAGATCAAGTTGCAAGTATCCACTGTCCTTTCTTCAAAGTGGTTGTACTAAATTGGTGGGGATATTTCAGGAGGAGCAGCTTACTGGTTGTCATGGTACATGCGAGAAGTTTCCTAGAACACACTTTAATCGGATATGGCTGAGACCATCCTTGGGGTAACGTAGGTAGCAGATACAATCAGGTCACAGAATGCCATGTCACATGTGCTGAATGATATCGGCGATGACTTGGTGAAGTTTAACGGCCTTGTACTTTATTGATGCTATGAGAATGGTTGTGTCTCCAAGTCCAATATTACAGATTAAAGCTGGGGCAATGACGAATAGATACCCAATACCGGGCCTCTTCCTTCCCCAAAACTTTTAATTAATTTCATTTTCAACTGACATTTTGTGTACTTTTAGGGTTGTACACCTTTGAAGATGGTGGTTCTTCCGAACCACTCCTACTATGTCGGAACTAAGTCCGATCTACGCCAGATAACCCCCTCCATATATCACTGTCCCGCATCAGGGTTCGCAGTTCGGAACCAAACTTTGTGAAAGGGTCTAAGCAAGATTCATACCCAGGTTTCTATTTCACATGTGACCAGTACATATATTAATGGTTGAGTTCACACGAGTTCTTTACAATTACATATTAGCGATGTATGGCAAACCTTCATTTAAGTCCTATTGGGGTTTTATTTAGCCTGTGATTTCTTAGAGAACAATTGAGAGTCACCATACTAGAATGTAGGGGAATCCAAATAAGTATAAGTAGTCCGTTAGCGTAACAATAATAAAAAGCACACAATTAATTTAAAATGTAAATCACGTATCAAAATACAAAAATAATAAGACTAAATTTTTATGGTACAAACAAATTTAAATATCGGCATACAGACATAGCTGACAAGTTTCATCTAATAAAACTCAGGAGAATTGATAAATAGTCATAGAATTAGACATGGGGACATACTTACAAATTAAATGGGACGCAGCCAAGGGAATTGAAAATGTTGTTTTTCCATCGGAAAAGACAGTTGACAAAATACTAAGTTGAGCCAATACTGGAACCATCCATTTGTTTGAGATTCGCACATAAATATGTGCATATTGCATAAGAATCAATGTCATTCCCAGGGACGAAGATAAGGGTATGCGAGTTTGGACATTTTCCAAATGCCTTTAAATATTGAACCATCGATTTGCGACAATTTCATATTTGGAACTATTTTCATCTAGGCTTATTTAAAAAGTCAATACAACCACCATGCATTGCCCCAATATCGAACATTTGAGGCCAGTAATGGTTTTAACTAGAAGCCATATGTTGTATCTCTGCCCCAAATTCGTCCGAAGGAATGAAATCGAATAGAGCGCATATAAAGGTATGATAAAATGGGCTAATTTAATAATTTTTAATGTGCTGTTCATCGAGAATTCCGTATCCAAAATTTGTTGTACCAACGATTTCAAACTCTAAAATTGGTGAAATATGTTAAACATACAGAGAATGTCACAGCTACGTCGTAAAACGCATGTGCCTATCGTTTCAGCGAAACTTGATAAAATTAAGGTCGTCTCCCAACCTTTTAAAGAGGTGATTTAATGCCCTGTAGTTCATTTTGTAACCATAATGTAACGAGACTTCTTCTTGCTTCAAAGACTGGGCGATTATTTTGGGGGGGGGGGGGGGGGGGGGGGGGGGGCCAACCATATTAAAGTATATTAAAATGTAGGATTTTTCCCGATTTTGACCCGGGGATATACTTTAATATACTTTAATATACCTACAATATACTTTAATATCCCTATCTCCTTGGAGGCCTACTTCAAAAATTGTTGCCCAAAATAAGCTTGAAATGCAATTCTTAATCTATTCCAAAAAGTTCTTGAAAAAATATTGAAAACTGATGGAGTTATTTCAATTTTAATGAAGTCATTTTTGCTAGTATTCCGAACCGAGATATTATGTGCAATTTTCCCAATTTTGTTCATGGAGGTCTTTTTACTTAGTATCTACTATATTCAACAAACACTGAGTTATATCTTCCACATAGAGTTAGTCTCATTAAAAAATATTGAAATTTTATCGAATTTGGTCAAAAGCGAATTTGGGCAAAAGCGTATGCCCAAATATGGGCATACTTTTTAAAGCTCATAGCTCAGCCAATTTTTGACCAATCTGGATGGAAATTCATGTACTAGTCCTAAAACAGGCTTATCTTGCGAATCTGAGTGAAAAATATAGTTCATCATGTAAATCTTAACGAAGAATATAAATCTTCTAATTGTAGGTATATTAAAGTATATTAAAATGTAGGATTTTTTCCGATTTTGACCCGGGGATATACTTTAATATGGTTGGCCCCCCCCCCATTATTTTGTACGGTTTACTCTCAGGTATTTATTGTTATTAAGCGTTGGAAATATCAGCACAGAATAGTACAAGTCTTACATATTACAGAGTGACTCGAGCATTTAAACCACAAGAAACGTCTAAAATAATTAAAAATCGCATGTGTGCTTAATCACAGACTAATTCAGAACCCATCCAGAGATTCAAACGATTTACATTGATTTAACCAGTATCCAATTGACGTAATAATCATCAGTATGGAGAGTCTGGACTCGGTTCATTTCCGTCGCAAAACACAAAACTAATTCGAGTGCAGACATAACTTCATATCCAAGACAGTCACTGCAACTGCAGTTACTTTTTATCGCAGTATTGCTATGACTGACGATATTTGTCTTGAAGCGATCAATCTTTGTTCTTCAATTTCAACTTCTAGGGGAAATAGCACGGACAAATAAATTATACATTCCGAATTCTGCATAATTAGGAAAGTGTAAAAGCCCCTCTACATCTATCATTATTTTCCCGTAAATAAGTACAAATTATTAGTAGCAGCCACGGCTATAACATTGTCAGTTGGATGCCAGTGGGCATGTAATATTTTGTGATTGAAGTCCAGCATTTCCACACTTATCTCATCTTTTCTTCTCTTCGGACCAACTCCTACTTTGCAGTGCTTCAGCTGAGTTTTGGGCTTGGCTGATTCTCGGCTCGCCTCAAAGCACGCATCTTTGTTGTTTGTTCTGTCAAAGATTCTAAAGAAGTTGTTGTATGAACCTGTCAGGATTGAGCTATAATACGGTTAAGGAAGATAAATGTTTCAGATTAAGATCTACTTGAATTGTGCTGGATATCATGTGCCATAATTAGATGGTACATAAAATAAACTATTGTAGCTGTATTAATGCAGTCATTTGCCACTTAGACTTATTGCTCAACACTTGGTAGTGGGACAAATGTTGAATAGACGGACAACAAATTTGTAAGAGAGCAGCACTAATGCAGCAGAATCACTTTACAGATCATGGATCATCATTTGTCGGCTATTTCCCGCGTATGGGATTTGATATAATAGAGGGTATCGCAATATGGTTCCACTATATTTTGTATATCAAGTACTCCCCTGCCAAAAGTGAAACTGCTGCACCTAGTTTCAGCAGGTGTCTGATCTACATTCGCCGGTAAGATATAATTTTAATAATTTACTTTGAACTGTCCCTGCGACATGGATTACAAGCATACAATGCTCTTAATTTAAAAAGTTGGTTTGTCCAGTTATCGCGCCGATATTCATCCACTGTACAAACTTAAAAGTTGGATTTATCGAAAAGACGCGCAGGGAGAATGATTGCTGCAAAGTACTTTTTATGCCAATACCCTAGAAAACTGACACTCTGATGCTTTAATTGCGCGGTCTGCGCGCGGTAGCGGGTCGGTACAATTATTATCGCATGTCATATCTTGCCGTATCGAAGTAGCCCATAGGCGATAACCATTTCAGATAAAAGTTTGATTGCCAATTCACAATCGGTGTCTAATTTCTAGGCTGATTCTAAAAGGATACTTTGATGGTCCTCCCCAAACAACTTCGAACTTGTCGAAGATGCAATCGTTTTCGTAGAGAGAGCACAGTTTCGATCGTAGATACTCGTGAACGTTGTATGTTTCAATAGGTCTGCTGTCCATGTTCAGATCCCAAAGCTGAAAGCAGGTTATGTTCAATAGTTTCGGCACTGCAAGCGTTTCATGTACTTTATCTAATAAGAAGCAATCCATGTCATATTTTAATTATTGTGGGAAGCCGTAGATAATAACCCGTACCTTGACAGTAAGGTAATCTCTAGAAACCATGTATCTGCCACAAGATGAGAATTTTACATCGGATATGGAAGATATTATCTCCGAGAAGAAGGACTTTGTTGTCGAATCTTCGGGCTCTTCGAACACTGAGAGATGGAAAATGAAGATAACATTTATTGGTTAAAATTGACGATATTGTCTTGTGTACCAAGCATCAACACTTCGATAACTTCTTAAACGGTTTCATCGTGATATTAAACTTACTCTTAGCGTGTTGGTCGCAGAGAGCTTGAGCCCTCATGTCACAGAGTCTGATGGTTCCTTTGCTGCTACTGTAAACGAAGTAGTTACAGTGCTGAGGGTGAAACTTTGCCGCAGTTATAACCTGAAATATTATTATTGAGCTAAAAGTGGAGTGAAATTGTTGGGTATCAGTTACAAGGGCTTGGTATGTGATTTGCCTAATGTTGTGCCACACAGTCAACTTCCCAGATCATATTACCACAAACAGCTGTATTTTTATATAGAGTAACTAACAATGACCGAACATAGCTACTTTTAACTTTAATGTAGCGATATTTAATGGGAGACGATGCATTAGCCCCAGATAAGGTACAACATGGTTTCTCGTTTGAACAGCATGACAACCCATCGCTATTCCCTCTCAAGGGTTGACAGGTATTACAAAGTTTGGCGCAAGGTCATGGGGGGACTTCTAGGACAGTTAAAACTAATAAGTTAAAACGGTCTGCGGTACTTTTAGAATGATCTGACAACATCTGATCACATACATTTTAAACTCAACAATATAATAATTAAGGCATTGTACGGGACAAACCTCGGTCAATTCCTCCATGTTAACAGGTTTGATATCAACAACATTGTAGCACTCGGTTGTCGAGTCTAAATGCCACAGATTTATACGCAAATCGTCTGCCGACAAATAAGTTTCGTCGTCACTGTTTAACGATATCGAGTTTATGTGATACATGTGGGCTTTATCGTATAACCTGAAAGTATGTAGATCATTATAACACTGTTTGAAGCATGTCGAAACGTCGCGTAGGTAAGTTTTATATACCTTACCTGAGAACATATAAATATGTTCTGAAAAAGATTTTAAAATATTTGTCTTCTTCTCGATTCAATACAGTTGAATCTGACTGGCAAAAAAGCGTCACAAAATTACAAGCGTATCTTCGAAGAAGCAGACGAGAATACGCTTTCTGAAAACTATCAGTATCAATAGCCATACAGTCTTAATAAACATAAAATTACTCACTTTTTAGGGGTAGCTTCAACAGTAAGTTCATTGACAGGGACTAAATGAGGAATGCGCAATGTGTTAATGGAACGTAGATCACGCTGCGCTCCATACTCGTCATACAGGTTAAAACCATCCAGTCTATACCGACGCTCTGATACCTTCCATAACTTTATAGTCTTATCTGAAAAGAAGATATTTATAATGCTTTACTGTACTTATAGATGTAAGTAACTTGTGGCCACAGTAGTCCCAAAATATGGTACGTTTTACTTACATTAATAAATTAATAAATATGTAACACATTTTAACGTTTCTATAAAGGAATTTGTATTTAGATTCCTAAGAGCACAAATAGGACGTCCCCACTCCCCAGTTCCAGTGAATAAATTTTATAGCCTTTCAAGTGTTCGCGATGTAAAATGACACCATAAATAAAAATCGTGTAGGAGAAGTGCATCTGAACTTCGAAAAATTCTTTGACCTTAACAATTTTTGGTGAACTGACTCAATTAAGTAAAATGCGATTTAGGTTCATAAAATCTAGCTGCAAGTCTCGGTATTTTTCACCAATTTATGTATGAGACCATAGAATCAGATAAATTTACCGGGTTCATCAGGTTATTAAGAGCAGTGAAATGACCCTGCTAAGTTAGATCGGATTTGCATGAATTTGTACCGCGTTCTAAGTTATAATCTAAGAATTTAAAATAGACATGGGAACAAGACAGGAATTAAGATTGTTTTGAAAGCTTTACATTCAATATTCAAAAGACAATGGATAATGGATATTTGAGAGGTATTTACAAGTACGTGTGGTCGTAATCACATAAAAATGCAATTTGGTTGCAATAAGATATCAATGATACTGCCAAAGGATTTGCTTAATTATTTATCGGCTGACTTGTTATCAAATTTGATAAATATTCTCGCATTGACATGTGAATACAGTTGAACAAATAATACAGTTGTCATTGGAAGGCAATAGCGAAGATTATTTAGAACCTAAATTTATCTGTTACATAACCAGAGTTACTATTTATAACATAATATAATTAGAGATTCCAAGGAAACTGTCGCTAACAACTGTACCATTTGTTCTCTTGTTCAGCCCAGAAGATCTATCAAGATTCATTTATAGAGAAGAAGGTTTAATAAGATTTATGTTTGCATTTTTCAGTATTTAAGTTAAAATGTTCATTAGCAAGTAGAGGGAATAATTATTAAAAAAATATAAAACTCACCGTTAGTTGATAATAAGAATAAATTATTATTCTGACGTTTTAACCATTGTATTTCATTAATTTTTTCTTCTATTTCTAAACTCTTCAAATAATCAAATTGAGGTTCGTGACTTTGAAATGTGCTATATACACTATATTCCCCTTTAGCCTGAAAATAATATAGCCGGTTAGAGATGATAAATCATAAATAAACCACTTACTAAAGCATGCTTGGAACGCGAATGTAGATCATGTAATTATTCCTCAATTGTGTTATTCAGAACAGCAATCTGACATAATATCCGACCATGGCGTCGAATTGTAACAGTTTATTATAAGTGAATTGTGAAACCGGGCAAGAAAAGATAATGCACGTATACCTCACAACGTACAAAGTTTTGTTAACAGTAAAACATGTGTTATCCATGTTCCAAGAAGAATTTTACGAATGTACATACCCCTAAATCTTTTTGAAATATTACTACTCTGCCCCCTTTGTCGCCCGTTGCTAAAAATTCCCCATCGTGATTAAACTGTACCGTTGATATGATATCAGCTGAGGGATAAGTTGAATTACATTTTTTTAAACAAATTATATACGATAGTAAAGTAGAGCCTTTCTTACTTCTAATTAGAATAAATAAGTTGAATCTGTGATATTTACAAAAGCCCCAAAACTAAACAAACATTTCTTTTTGATTTGGTGAAAAGAATAAACGAGAGTTTAAATGAACGTTTATTCACTTAGTCAAATAGACTAGACAATAGACATACCATCAGTTATATCTTCCTCGACTGTTCCTTTGACTTGTGAAAAATACCACTGTAAGTCGTTGCTTGCTATACTAGGTCCATTTGCCCCTGAGTAATTTTTAAGTTATGTGACCAGAATGATAATCTTTCACGACCTTTAAGTTTGATTCGGTAACTAATAACACCGAAGGCGATATAACTAGTATAGTGTAAGTACTTCAGTATTTTCTAAGATAATAAGATTAATAACATTAATAGGAGACAATGCCCGTAATACACAATATTAAGATTGATTTAAGGGGGACAGGGGGGTCTTCATCAAAATTCTCTCGAAATTGACTTTATAGTTGTTTCTGATAGAAGAGAGTGATATCTATCAGCTGTTTTTAGTTCCATGGAAAAGTATTGTTCCTAGCCGAAATTATTGCCGGTCAAAGGTCAGGGCGCGGCTTATGTGTAATTGTATTACGCGAGCGATTTTCAATCGCGTGCCCTGAAAATCGAGTCTAAAAATCTATCTCCTCCTACATTTTTTGAGCTATCACCCTGAAACCTTCAGGATATGTTTTAAGATAGGTCTTGAGATAGGTCTTAGAAATTTTTTTATTCGATTTTGAAAATCTTGGACCTCGTTTTTTGACAATTGTTTCAGGTCCAAGATTTTCAAAATCAAATAAAATTTGTTCTAAGGCCTATCTCCAAATTCTGGCCTAACAATCTCTTTTAAATGGTCCTTAAAACATATCCTGAAAGTTTCAGGGTGATCGCTCAAAAAATGTAGGAAGAAGATAGATTTTTAGACTCGATTTTCAGGGCGCGTGATTGAAAATCGCTCGCGCAATACAATTACACGTAAGCGCTGACCTTTGACCGGCAATAATTTCGGCTAGGAACAATATTTTTCCATGAGACTAAGGACAGCTGATAGATATCACTCCCCTCTATCAGAAACAACTGTAAAGTCAATTTCGAGAGAATTTTGATGAAGACCCCCCCGGCCCACATCCAGAAAGTTAAAAACAGCAGAACCTCCATCCCACAAGAGAACTTTCTAATGATATGACTGAAGTTTCAGTCTACCTGTCCATCAGCCCAATTAACTTGAAAGGATGTGACCAGGGCGATCTCATTACTGTTGTGCAATGCATGGATGAGTTAGAATCTTGAAATTTTGAAAGCCGACTCTGTTTCAAATTGTTAATGCAATGGATAACATTTAAAGGAAATTTTTCACTTTCACAATGTCGGCGAGTGAAGCAGGACAGTTTTTAAGCATTTGGAGCTACGCCCCAGAAAATTTTTTGCGTTTTTGCTTTACTTGGCCACATTAAAATCTGCAATAACAAAATATTTGAAGCCCTTCAAAATAGTGTGTTACAAAATGACTTTCTCCTACAACCCACAAGTAAAACATTAAACATGGCCAGCTTGCACCATCTGTTTTAGTTATCACAAATTATTCTATGTGCCTTGCAGAGTAGAGGCAACCATATCCTGAGAAATGTTAAGTGCATACAACTTAAACTTTCGCACAGACAGGAATTGAAGATATGTTTGCCGCAGGCAAAAATTCTTCATGATTTTGCCCACACAGAAGGCCTAGAAGCAATTTGGTAATAGAGATCATTTTCAAACACAGTTTCAAAAACGATTCAAAGAACTGTTCGTTTTTTCCTCTTCCATTTGTCAACAATTTTGGATTGTTTTTGGACCCCAAAAAAATGTATGGTAAAATGTTTCAAAATTCAGATCGTAGACTTTGTAAATTTCCTCTTTGGCACCAAAAATTTCCTCCGAAATCGAAAATTTCCTTGCAGATTATCTGCTAGTCTGCTAAGGTTTCTGGCAGTGGGCCCCCCGGCCCCCGGTATGTTAAAGTTATAAATACAATACTAGGTTTTAATTATAATACTACTGGTGACAAGAATGTTAATACTGTTAATACTTAAGATAAAATCTTGTTGATTAGTTAAAAACGTTTTCAATTGATATTAATTTTGCAAAAAACATACCTGTTGCCATGAAATCAAATTAAGCTATGGGGAATAAAGCATGTTAGGGTTTTTAAGAATACATAATACTTAATAAAGTTATAAATACCTAATATCATTTAATTGGGTACAAAACGATAACAATTTCATTAAACAATCGTTTGCAATCCCTCAATTTGAGCCAAAATTTAAGTGAACTAGCACTTGATGAGCATGAAATATAATTAGATTCTAGACATTCATTGATTCCAGACATAAGTCGATATAATATGTACATTTTAATGTGACCTCTTTTACCATACAACTCCATTTAATGGAAATATTAGACTGACTTATTTATTGACAAGAGCTAGAGGTGATGATCACTAATGAACCAGAAAAAACAGAGGCCAGGACAGTGCAGCTACCGTAACTGAAGTTCCTGGCTGGATTGGAGTTGTTGATGTTGTGACAGATGATGAAAAAGATGGTGTTCTCCACACAGCAGAACCTCCATCCCACAAGAGAACTTTCTAATGATATGACTGAAGTTTCAGTCTACCTGTCCATCAGCCCAATTAACTTGAAAGGATGTGACCAGGGCGATCTCATTACTGTTGTGCAATGCATGGATGAGTTAGAATCTTGAAATTTTGAAAGCCGACTCTGTTTCAAATTGTTAATGCAATGGATAACATTTAAAGGATACTGTGTGCTCAACAGTATCTCCATTTTAACCTCCCTAAACATCCCAATTCAAAAAAAAAGAAAAAGGGATGCTTAGTGAAAGTAGGAAGTCATCAGGTAAGATTGATTGATTGTAAACTGGGACAGTGGAAAAAAAAACTAAAAAAACACATACAAATAATCCCTCACTAGAGCACTGAACTCATAATAAAATATGCCACACTGTGTGGATCAGCACCTTACAATAGAATTAAACAAATTTTGGACAAATTTTTAATAAAACCAAATTTTAGTGTGCTCCAATGACCAGATTATATAACTCAACGTATAACAATTTGAGCACAATGGGAGACTGTACAGGTCACAGGAACTGGACAGTGGACAGAGTTACATAGAACTCTACTGAGTTCCATCACTGGTTCAAGTAATCGAGGGTAAAAAGGATAGTATTAACTAATAGGGAGAACATTTTTCGGAGCTATTAAACCCTCCTCCCACGAATGCGGATCTGTCTGACCTGGACCATCTTGAAGTGGTTCCATGCTTTCCTTATCTTGGTGATGGTGATGGTCCCCCCACTAGACTTGAGATTTTAAACTGTCTCAAAAAATTGAAGAACCACAAAAGTGCTGGGATCGACGAAATCTCTAATGAGCAGTTGAAGTATGGGGCAAGTGGTCTTGTGGATAGGATGGAGAAATTGGTCTCTAAAGTTTGGAAATCAGAAGCAGTGCCTGACGACTGGTTGAAAGGCATCGTGATAATTGTACCAAAGAAGGGTGATACCTCTCATTGCTCCAATAATAGGGGGATCACTCTAAGATCCACAGCTAAGGTTTTTTTTTATAGGGTGCCAAGGGTGCCAGCACCCTTGCCTCAAATTTTTTCATCGAAAAATTAAAATTGGCTGAAACGAAAAAAAAAACATATTTTCTTGGGGGGGGGGGGGGGGGGGGGGGGGGGGTCTATAGGCGGGGTGCAACACCTAACCCCGCTAATCCCGCCAAATCCCGCGTAATCCCGCGTAATCCCGCCAAATCCCGCCAAATCCCGCGTAATTCCGCGTAATTCCGCCAAATTCCACGTAATCCCGCCAAATTCCACGTAATCCCGCCGATAAAAATAAAGTTAATTTTTTTATGTCACAAATTTTACTCATCAAAGCATAAATACGAAACTCGATCGGTTTTTAACAATACGAAATGGTTTTGTTAATAACCAAATTTTGCACTTTAGTTTTCGTAAATAGCATAGATAGAAGTTTCCATACTTTGACAGGAAAACATTAGTTGCTCATTTGGTAAAGGCCACATTTATATTGGATCCCTGAAATATTCCTACAGAGTAGTTGAGTAGTTGAGTAGTTGCAGTAGCGGACCTTTCAAAGTTCATCTTGAAAGGAGATATCGATTGCAAGTATTGCCACCAGATTTTCAAAACCGGAAGTTTACTAAGATGTATTATCATTGAACTGATTACAAAAGATGATCATAATTGAGAAAAGAGGAGGAGGAGGAGGAGGAGGACTAAGGAGGAAGACTGAGGAGGAGGGGGAGGACTGAGGAGGAGGACTGAGGAGGAGGACTGAGGAGGACTGATGAGGAGAAGGAGGTGGATGAAGAGAACTGAGGAGGAGGAGAAGGAGGACTGAGGAGGACTGGTGAGGAGAAGGAGGCGGACTGAGGAGGAGGAGGAGGAGGAGGAGAAGGACTAAAGAGGAGGAGGACCCAGGAGGAGGATAACTGAGGAGAAGGACCGATGAGGAGGAGGACAGAGGAAGAGGAGGAGAAGGACTGAGGAGGAGAAGGAGGACCCAGGAGGAGGACCCAGGAGGAGGAGCAGGAGGAGGACTGAGGATGAGGATGAGGGTGGCTGGGGGAGGACTGAGGAGGAGGAGGAAACCTGAGGAGGAGGTGTACGATGAGAAGGACTGAGGAGGAGGAGGAGGACTGAGGAGAAAGATGAGGAGGACTGAGGAGAAAGATGAGGAAGAGGACTGAAGAGGGAGACTGAGGAGGAGGAGGGGAGGCGGAGGAGGACTGAGGATGACTGATGAGGAATGATGAGGAGAAGGAGGTGGATGAGGAGGATGAGGAGGACTAAGGAGAAGGAGGAGAAGAAAGAGGACTGGTGAAAAGGATTGATAAGGAGGAGGATGATCAGGATGACCCAGGAGGAGGATATAGGAGGAGGATGAGGACTGAGGATGAGGACTGAGGAGGAGGAAGAGGACTGAGGAGGATGGCTGAGGAGGATGACTGAGAGGGAGGAAGAGAAGGAGGAGTAAAACTGAGGAAGACTGAGAAGAAGGAGGAGGAGAACTGAGGAGGAGGACTGAAGAGGGGGACTGAGGAAGAGGAGGGGAGGCGGAGGAGGATTGAGGAGGATGACTGATGACTGGTGAGGAGGGGAAGGAGGTGGATGAGGAGGATGAGGAGGACTAAGGAGGAGGAGAAAGAGGACTGGTGAAGGGGATTGATGAGGAGGAGGAGGAGGACTGATAAGGAGGAGGAGGAGGAGGACTAAGGAGGAGGGGAAAGAGGTGGATAAGGAGGATGAGGAGGATGAGGAGGACTAAGGAGAAGGAGGAGGAGAAGGAGAAGGAGGACTGGTGAAGAGGATTGATGAGGAGGAGGACTGATGAGGAGGAGGACTGAGGAGGACTGAGAAGGAGGAGGACTGAGGAGAACGATGAGGAGGAGGACTGAGGAGGAGGGGAAGGAGGTGGATGAGGAAGATGATGAGGATGAGGAGGACTGAGGAGGAGGAGGACTGAGGAGTAGGAGTAGGAGGATGACTGAGGAGGGGAGGAGGAAGAGGACAAAGGAGGATCAGGATGACCCAGGAAGAGGACCCAGGAGGAGGAGGAGGACTGAGGAGGAGGAGGAGGACTGAATAGGAGGAGGAGGGGGACTGGGGGAGGACTGAGGAGGAGGACTAAGGAGAACGATGAGGAGGAGGACTGAGGAGGAGGGGAAGGAGGTGGATGAGGAAGATGAGGAGGATGAGGAGGACTGAGGAGGAGGAGGACTGAGGAGTAGGAGTAGGAGGATGACTGAGGAGGGGAGGAGGAAGAGGACAAAGGAGGATCAGGATGACCCAGGAAGAGGACCCAGGAGGAGGAGGAGGACTGAGGAGGAGGAGGAGGACTGAGAAGGAGGAGGACTGAGGAGAACTGAGGAGGAGGAGGACTAAGGAGAAATATGAGGAGGACTGACGAGGAAGATGAGGACTGAGGAGGAGGAGGACTGAGGAGGATGGCTGAGGAGGATGACTGAGAGGGAGGAGGAGGAGTAAAACTGAGGAGGACTGAGGAGAAGTCTCAGAAGAACTGAGGGGGAGGAGGACTAAGGAGAAATATGAGGAGGACTGACGAGGAAGATGAGGACTGAGGAGGAGGAGGACTGAGGAGGATGGCTGAGGAGGATGACTGAGAGGGAGGAGTAAAACTGAGGAGGACTGAGGAGAAGGAGGATAAGGACTGAGGAGAACTGAGGAGTAGGACTGAAGAGGGGACTGAGGAGGAGGAGGGGAGGCGGAGGATGACTGAGGAGGATGACTGATGAGGAATGATGAGGAGGGGAAGGAGGTGGATGAGGAGGATGAGGAGGACTAAGGAGAAGGAGGAGGAGAAGGAGGACTGGTGAAGAGGATTGATGAGGAGGAGGAGGAGGTGGACTGAAGAGGAGGAGATGACTGAGGAGGGGAGGAGGAAGAGGACTGAGGAGGATCTGGATGACCCAGGAGGATGACCCAGGAGGAGGACTGAGGAGGATGACTGAGGAGGAGGAGGACTGAGGAGGAGGAGGACTGAGAAGGAGGACTGAGGAGTACTGAGGAGGAGGAGGACTAAATATGAGGAGGAGGAGGGGGACTGGAGGAGGACTGAGGAGGGGGACTGAGGAGGACTGAGGATGAGGACTGAGGAGGAGGAGGAGGACTGAGGAGGACTGAGGGGGATGGCTGAGGAGGATGACTGAGAGGGAGGAGGAGGAGGAGTAAAACTGAGGAGGACTGAGGAGAAGGAGGATGAGGACTGAGGAGGAGGACTGAAGAGGAGGACTGAGGAGGAGGAGGGGAGGCGGAGGAGGACGACTGATGAGAAATGATGAGGAGGGGAAGTAGGTGGATGAGGAGGATGAGGAGGATGAGGAGGACTAAGGAGAAGGAAGAGGAGAAGGAGAAGGAGGACTGGTGAAGAGGATTGATGAGGAGGAGGAGGACCGAGAAGGAGGAGGACTGAGGAGAACTGAGGAGGAGGAGGAGGACTGAATAGGAGGAGGGGGACTGGGGGAGGACTGAGGAGGAGGACTGAGGACTGAAGAGGGGGAGGATGAAAATGAGGGGAGGAGGAAGAAGACTGAGGAGGATCAGGATGACC